GAGTGGTGCTTATTAGCGAGGATGGGTAGGAATGGTGTCCCTAGCCTCTGTGTGTCAGATGCTGGGAATGGGTGACAGGGGTGTGATTGCTTGATAATTCCCTGTTCTGTCCATTCCCTCTGGGCACCTGGCATTGGCTACTGTCGGCAGACAGGATACTGGGCTAGATGGACCTTTGGTCTGACCCAGTCTGACCATTCTTATTTTCTTAAACAGCTGAACATGAGCTCTCAATCTGCTGTGGAGGCCAAAAGAACTAATACAATCCTGGGATGCATAAATGGGAATTCTGAGTAGGAGCAGAAAGATTAATTGGCCTCTGTCTTTGGCACGGGTGTGCCCGCAGCAGGAGTCCCATGACCAGGTCTGACGTCCACAACTCAAGAAGGATGTTGATTAATTGGAAAAGGTTCAGGGCAATGTTCCCTCTAATATTTCCCAGCCATGCGAGGATTTTTTCATTTGTGTGCAGAATAATTTGTGTTATGTGCACCGAGGCATGTCTCAACGTGCACCACCAGGAGAAACACAAACCTAGCTTGGAGTTGGGGGACTCTAAGCTCCACTTGTGATCCCCTGGTCCTTTTCAAAAGAGGAGAGGTTTGCCCCCAGTGCTTTTGGCCACCATATCACTTTCCATCATGTTTGCATTGGGTGGTGTATGCTGATGAGTAGCCTCCCTCTTCCCCAGAAGCAGCTGCAATTCACTGGTGCTGGGTGCCTTTGTGAAATACACATGGGGGACCCTGTGGATGGGAAGGGACTATGGAAATGTAAGATGTTTCTCTTATGCTTGTAATTAATCAGACTGGGTATAGTAATTGGAACATTTGATGCAATAATTACCGCAGAGTCCATATTTCTCCTGAGGGATGCATTACAGCCGTGGTCACCAACCAGTAGATCGCGATCTACTGGTAGATCTCGGAGGCTCTAAGAGTAGCTCTTGAGCCCTCTCTGAACTGCGCGCCTGCGCAGTACATTTACATTAGATTTCCTCATTTGAGGAGCAATTACTCACAGAGCAACAGCATAGGTGAGTAGCTGCGAGGAATGGTGGGATTTTTTTTTAAAGTAGCAGTATAAGGATTGGGGATAGCAAGTGATGGAGAGGAGGAGAAGAGAGAGGGCAGGGCTTCAAGGAAGGGGCGGGGCGGTAGATCTTGGCTTGGTCTGTCATTTAAAAAGTGATCTTGGGTATAAAAAGGTTGGAGACCGCTGCATTACAGATTCCTCTGCCATTTCATCAGTACGGAGGTAGCATTGCATGGCAGCTTCTTGCTTGACATACTGCAAATACTTAGAAGAGACCCAGACAGGACTTTATATTTAGATGTGTGCAGACATATATAGCTACGCATACGCACACCCACACACTCTTCTCAAGCATTTGTTTGGGCGAGATTGTAGAAAATATCAATGTTCCAAGAGTTAACATGCTTATCTGATTTATTAGGAGTTTCCAGTCATTGTAATAAATTAGGTTTCTATTTATATTCAGGTACTTTGCAACTTTGTCGCTGCATGAAGAACAAACAGTACAGAGCTCTTATTGAAAAAGAATTAAAATAACTACCTTAAAGAGCTGAACGCATCACCAATAGGCATTTTGGCTTTTTTGGTGAGGTTAGTTTGCAGAATTTCATAGTGTTGGCTTCATTTTCAATTCACACTCAACTATGGGTTTAGATTTCTTCTTGACTTCTTTACTCTACCTGCATTAGCAGCCCCCCTCCTGGCCTTTTCCAGAGGCACTGTGTTTTGAGTGCGAAGCATTTTGCATTATTCAACACCATGGCTACATCTACACTGGCATGATTTTCCGAAAATGCTTTTAACGGAAAAGTTTTCCGTTAAAAGCATTTTCGGAAAAGCACGTTTAGATTGGCAGGATGCTTTTCCGCAAAAGCACTTTTTGCGGAAAAGCGTCCGTGGCCAATCTAGACGCGGTTTTCTGCAAAAAAGCCCCGATTGCCATTTTCGCGATCGGGGCTTTTTTGCAGAAAACAGTACTATGCTGTCTACACTGGCCCTTTTGCACAAAAGTCTTTCGGAAAAAGACTTTTGCCTGAACGGGAGCAGCATAGTATTTCTGGAAAAGCACTGATGATTTTACATGAGATTGTCAGTGCTTTTCCGAAAATTCAAGCGGCCAGTGTAGACAGCTGGCAAGTTTTTCCGCAAAGTCACATGATTTTGCAGAAAAACTTGCCAATCTAGACACAGCCCATGGCTTTTGTTTCAAAACAGCCCATATGTAACTAAATGCGGCTATCTGGCACACACTCTTAGCTAGCTCATCTACCAAAAAGTTCTCCTAAAAGCTAACCTTTGGGGACAGAAGGAATTCTTTTTCCAATGGGAGAATTAAGAAAGCAGTTAAAATTTCCATACAACAAGCTGCTTAAAACATCTTTCCAGCTTTTCCCCTTTTAGGCTCAGTTCTATTAAATAGGGTCCTCACCATACCCCCAACTCACTTCAGAGACCTCTGTACAAATTTCACTGCAAATCCAGGGCTTTCCACAGGAAAAGTCCCCTTCTACAGACCTTGCTCAGGAAAAACCTCCAACGAAGCCAATGGGAGTTGTGACCGAATAAAGGGCTCAATCTCAGTAGGAATTGAATTGGACCTTCATTGCACAATGTATTAAGAAGGGGGTGGTGTTTCATTTGGAGCTGTGGGATTTCCACACAGCCCTGAAAGACCAATGAGGAGCAGACGTTGGCCTAGGCAGCCCTGCAGAGCTAGTCAACAAATCTAGCAACACGTGGCAAAAACATCTCGTTCAAGTTTTAGTAAAATCTAGACGCCCACGAGCATCCTTTATTGCAAATCAGTTAACCAAAAAATACATCATTTTTGCAAACTACAACTTTGCAGGTAGATAACTTTAATACAGAAACTTTTTTTCGTAAACTACATTCTAGTTTATAAAACATAGGAAGACAACACCATGTGATCACTAGTATTAGGGATGTCACAATACCAATACTCCTGAAGTGTTCACTAAGAGATTAGCACAGAAGGGATGGCAGAAAGCCTGGTGCTTTTGAGAAATTACAGTCATATTTGGTGTTCTAAGCGAAAGGGACGAGGTATCTCTCCCTTTTCTCAGGTTTCCTTGATCGACTGCATTTTAGGTGAGAGAATGTCCTGGAGACAGCCGTATGCATAGTGTTCGCTTTCCTTTTGCAGTCAAGGAGGGAGCAATATTCTGACACCTCTAATCAGCATGATATACTTAAGACTTGTTCATTTAGATTTTTGAAACAAAATCCACTTTTTTTTTAAAAAACAAAACAAACGTATTTACAAACATTAATTCTGCCACAGGCTTATACTATATTTTACACGGTTGTTTTCCCTCTACCTCCACAAAAAGGGAGTGCACCAATATAAACACAGTGCATCACTCCATGCTTGTAAGAACATAACGTTAACATTCAAAACCATGGACTCCGCAGCCCGGTTTATGTTTGTGACTCCTAATTTAATTTTCTGCCCTTCTGGTAAGATTGGCCGGGGCTACATCCGAACCGGACGACATCTTAATTTGCAAACCCAAAAGTTCAATATTTCAAAAAGAGCTTGGATGTCAGGGATTGATAGTAGACTGGGCATTGTGATGCTGTGTTAATATTCATTCAAGCTGTTATGCAGTATTTAACAAATGACACCTTTAAAATAAGAGTGTACTACCCTTAAAAGAAGGACGTGATTCTGAAAGTCCGAACCCTAGCATTTTTACCGTGTAAAAAGTAATTTAGAAAACCCCCAATAAACTCTTCGGCACTGATTCTGCAGCTATGGGTTTTCAACAGATTTGGCCAATGTTGTTTCTCTAGGCAGCAACAGTGTTATGTAGATTTTTTTTTTTAGCTTAGAACCTATCACAGGTCTGTAATCCTGATTTTTAGCTATAGACAGCATTTAAATATATGAAAAAGAAAGAACAAGAATTTCTATGTATTAAGATAAATGTACAACTATATAATACTGAAATTTTAAACAAAGATTCATGACTAGTACCATAAAATATCCTCTCAGATAACCTCAAAGAAAACATTTTAAAGTACATTTCAAAAATCAATTCATATTTAATTTATAATTTTTTCGAGGGTTCACTTTTGTAGCTAATTCTCTCTCCTTCCCCCTTTTCTGGTTTTGAAAGCAAAATAATAATAATAAATAAATGGCATTTCAGAATCACGAATCTTTGCTTACAACTTTACAAAAACAAACAACCCCAGCACCCTCCCACATCAACATATTAAAAAACTCCCCCAAAACAAAAAAACAAAACAAAAAAAAAATCCAAAAGAGACCTAATAGTTTTCAATTCCTTGGAGCGCAACTGAAGTGTCTCATTTTGAGTTCTTAACAACAGAACATATAAATAAAAAGGCAGTGTTTTCATGTAAAATAAAAAGTACATAAATAAATACTAAAAAAAAAAAAAGATTAAACATTGTCTTTTTATTTTGTATAAAAAACATATAAAAAAGGATCCTTCAGTCAAATCACCCTTAGGTGTCCTTAATTTTTAAAAACGATCCTGTGTCAGTCCGTGAAAGACCCTCTTTACTTGAAGGCTTCTGGGATGTGTCCTATCTGTGACTGCATACTCGTGGGAGGGCTGGAGATCCCCTCTGACCAATCAGATATGTTGGAATGAGGCGATGAGCTTGACCATTGGTCTGGCGACTCTGGGGAAGGTGTTAAGAAAGGGTGGTCTGGCACCTGAAGCTGGTGATTGGGTGTATTGTCCAAGGGGGAGGAGTAACTGTGTTGAGAGGGCGGAGTTAAAAACTGGGTGGTGGTCATGGGTTGCGTGAGGGAGGATGGGAGAGACGTTGAGAGGATTTGGGTCTCTTGAGGCAAAATGGTGTGCACCGGCATGGTGCTGCCGCTCACCTGTGGCATGTCTGACTGGGTGAGCTCGTTACCGAGGAAATTTTGGCTAATGTGACCGTTGGCGTTCGAGCTGGGGTTGTGATGCTGCTGCTGCTGCTGCTGCATATTTTGCTGTTGCAGCTGCTGCTGTAAATTCTGCTGCTGCTGCTGGATCTGTTGCATCTGCTGGGCCTGCATGAGATGTGGCTGGGAGGCCAGCCGGGTGTTAGGCATGGGCTGGAAGCTCATCATCTGCGACAAGGCTGTGGTGGGCATGCCGTTGTGCAGGGGGGTCATCATGCCGTGGGGCAGGGCCTGGCTTTGCTGGTGAGCCCCAGGCTGGACATTGCTTCTCATGGGGTTATACTGGTTCTGCACCATCCCGTTTTGCAGCCGTGTGAGCCAATCGCACTGCCCGTTCAGGCTGGTAGCGCCTCCCACCGTGAAATTCATCGGCGCGCTGCTCAGGGCTGTGCCGGGGCTGGAGACGGGGAGGTGGGAGAGACGCGGGGGCATGGACTCGAAGGCCATCCTGCTGGAGCCGCCCATCGCCATCTCCTGCTTTCCTGCCATGTTGAGATGGTTGATACCCAGGTGGGCGTCCGGCAGGCCTGGCAGGTGGTTCAGAGGCACGGACGGGGACTGCTGAAACGGAGGTGTCATCAGGGGAGGAGACGCGACGTCCGAGAGGTACCCGTGGGGCGACTCCAGGGAGTCGACGGGCGACAGCACGCTGGAGCTGTCGAGAAGGCCTCCTTTCCCATCCTGCGATTTTTTCCTCCTGGCTTTGGCGTCTTTGGAATCTTTGCTGGGGCAGCTCAGGCCCTTGGCACTCAGCTTCCTGGCCTTCTTCCCCTGGGCGGCCGGTTTCAGGTTGCCGATGTAGCCGTTGGGAGAGCAGAGCGGAGGAGACAGGGTGGGCGCCCCCAAGGGGCCGTTATGCAGCGGCGGGCTGCGCACCAGGTTATACTCGTCCAGCAGCCGCACGATGTCGTGGTGCATGCGCTCCTGCGCGATATCCCGTGGGAGCCGGTCCATGTGGTCTGTGATGTCCCGGTTGGCAAAGTGATCCAGGAGGACTTTGGCCGTTTCATAGCTCCCTTCCCTGGCGGCCAGGAACAGCGGAGTCTCCTCCTACGAACGCAAGGGAGACGGTTGGGTTGGCGTTGAAACCCCAAAGCTAACCGGTTTCCCCGGTGGGCACCACCCTGCTTTGACTTTTAGATTGGAAGCCATCACTGTGAGGTAGGAAACTAAGCCGCTGCAGAAAGCTGCGAGGCTCAGGTGTTCATGGAGTTCAACTTCATGCAAAGCTCTGGGGCGGAGCCATGGCATCTCTCTCCCCGGGCACACGTGCTCAGGACAACGGCTGTCGACTGGCTGCTGGGGAGTGAGATGCCCCTGGGAAATTTGGGCTCCAACAAAACCACTACCTGAGATGAACCCCAGGCTGGGGGAGTTTTTGGTCACCCCTTGTTTGCTGAGGCCAAGAGACAGACTAATTAATTAAATGGGGATGTACCTATCTCATAGAGCTGGAAAGGACTTTGGGAGGTCAAGTCTAGACCCCTGCCCTCATGGTAGGGCCAAGTACCATCCCTGACAGATTTGCCCCAGATCCCTAAATAGCCCTTTCAAGGATCAAACTCACAACCGTGAGCTTGGCAGGCCAACACGCAAACCACTGAGCTACCCCTCCCCATAGCTGATTGCCTCTGGGTTTGAATTCGGCAAGCCGCCTCGTCCATGTCTGATCTGAAACACTGGCTGCAGGTGACTTCAAAGGGCACAGTGAAGGGAGCGAAAGAACCCTCGTTATTTCCTCCTAATGCAACAGCGCACAGGTCCCTAGCACTGCCTGCAGGACCAGCTCTTGGGCTCCGTAGTCGAGTCAACCCCCCTCAACTGCAGTTGGAGTAAAAATCAGAAGGCGTCGGGGGAAGGCCTAGCTAGGGAAAGCAAACTCTAACCCTGCCCCTTCAGCAACCAACCCCCGTGGTGCCAAGCCCCACGCAGCCCCAGCCCTGGTGCCTGGTCCTTCCTGGCCACCTGGAGGGCCGGGGCTGCCAGGCTGTGACCTCACCCGTCCTGGGTGGCCAGGGAGCGTGGCCAGTTTTGGGAAGGGAATGGCTTCCCTGCCTACATTACCCACGGCCCCTGGATACAAACCTCAGCAGCCAAGATTAGATCAGAGGCAAAAACGAGCCATGGATTGACACGTAAAAGGAAAATAACGCCCTCGCATTTGCCAGCTCAGGAGATCCTACCTTATTGTTCTGCATGTCTTTATTGGCTCCGTTCTTCAGCAGCACCATGGCAGCTTCCACATTATTCACAGCCGCGGCCCAGTGCAGGGCTGATTTGCCTAGACAAGACGGCGGCGAAAGAGAGCAGGTGTTAGTCAGCCGGCAGAACAACAACAACTTCCCTGCCCTCAGCACCTCAGACAGCGCGGCACATTGTAGAAGGCGGCGGTACCTAGGTCGTCCACGGCATTGACATCCGCGTGGCAATTAATCAGATCCTCCAACATGCCCTCCACGGCCAAGCGTGCTGCCAAGATCAGCGGCGTGGTCCCGTCGTGCATGCGGGCATCCAGGTCGGTGGCTCGGTTCCTAATCAGGATCTGCCCAGACAGAGACGAGAAGGTGGAAAAAACAAACGTTAGGAGAAAGACAACGGCTATTCCCACGAGGTGTCCATGTGGCAAAAACTACCAGGCCTCTTGATGATAGTTGCGACAGAGAGATGGAGGTCTGGAAGGTGATGCAGAGGCTCAATTCCTTCTATTGTCCCTAGAGTCAGCCCCTGCCAAACAGGAATGGCTTATATAAGTGGGATAGACTTGGGGAAGCTTGCACTTCCAGCACGCTGCATCTGCTCTGCGACTCAAGAGACAGCTTCCATCGCCAAATCTTGCAGCATTAGACCTTTCCCCTGTACTAAATATCAGCACAACTCTCCTGGACCTCAATAATGACTTGGCTGATGAAGGGCAAGATGGCGACGTTGGGATGTGCTCAGTGAACCGGGGTTACGAAACTGCCTGCCACTGGTGCTTGGCCCTAGAGAGACAGGCTGCAGCGGGGAAGCTGGCTCGCTAAAACCGATGTACCTGGAAGACTCCTTGAGCATCAGCCGAGACAGCTGCATGAAGGGGCGTCCTGCCCATATTGTCCTGGATGTTTGCATCCGCACTGGCCTCCAGCAGGCGTTTGGCAGCATCGGAGCGAGAGTATCTTGCGGCCAGGTGGAGAGCCGTCTCGCCGGTGCGGTCAGTCTGGTTGTGCAGGCTGGCGCCCTGGTAGATGAAGTCCGAGATGACAGCAGGGGCATCTTCCTCCTCTTCACTGTTGCCTGTCTCCAGGCCTCCTCCACTGCACGAAGCGATCATGAGCGGGGTGAATCCATCTGGAAAACACAGCAACCTTAGGCATAGCGAGGGGCTCTGTGCCCTGCCGGGGTGGGGGGTTCCAATGAGCTGTTTGGACTTGCCAGGGCACATAAGGCTCTGGTCTCTACTCACTGACATCACAGACTAACACCCTTCCTCTGATTTAGGTCTGAATTCATTCTGCATTCAATAGCGGAGTAGCATCTCACCATGCACCTGCTTCCCTATTTTGCCTGCTGTCTTGGCTTCAACTTCCAAAGCATTTCAGGGCACGGTTTACATAGAACACCCTGTGCAGAATATGCTTGCACTGCACTGAAGCTTAAAAGCTTTCCTTATCTGGCTGTAGAACAGTCCCCCAAGAGAAGTGGATAAAGCTCAGAGATGGGGAAGCATCTATCAGGATCAATCCTGCACTGGCAGAGAGACGGATGGCAGGGTCTAATGGGTATCTCCCCCAAACTCTAACATCTTTGGTTCTCAAAGAGGAGCCATGTTAGCCTGTCTCTGCAAAAAAAAACGAGGGGTTTTGTTTTCTATAAATCTCCCTTTAGTTAACCACTGAGGGGCAATTCGGAGACTCAAAAACGAGGAGGCCCGTGGCACCGTAAGGGCTAACCGATTTATTTGGGCAGACGCTTTCGTGGGTAAAAACCACTTCAGGAGATGCCTCAGTGGTTTTTCACCCAGGAAAGCGTATGCCCTAATAAATCTGTTAGTACTGAACAGGGGCGAGGGTTCACCCAGGAAAGCGTATGCCCTAATAAATCTGTTAGTATTGAACAGGGGCGAGGGACCTTTCTGTGGTTGGGGACCACTGACCCACAGAAAAATCAGTCGGGAGCTGCACACAAGTGAGAAGCAAAAAAAAACCCACAAAACCAAACCCAACCCTCACTGCCATGGCCTGAGTGAGGAGAAGGATACTCCCTACATTCCCTTCCCACACCAGAGCCTAGGGGGGCCCAGCCTAGTAGATTTTGGGTGCTCCAGGCCCACGTTGGGGCTGCGGGGTGGGAGGTGGGGGGGCTGGAGCACCAACGTGGGCTCTCCAATGCTGGGGGGAGGCTCTGAGCTTCAGGGGCCGGATCCAGGCAAGCCAGAGGCCACATCTGGCCCCAGGGTCTGAGATTTCCCTACTCCTGGTCTTTAAGGTGCCACAGGACTCCTTGTTGTTCTTGTTTCTGTGACTTGCCTCTCTGTGGCTAAATAAGGATTTATGGAAAACAAAATGTCGCAAGGGCAAATCTCCTTAAATCATACCACCCAGTAGCAATGCCCCATGGGAGGACTTCTAGGCGAGGCACTTCTGTGTGAGGCTGCGTGGAGACTGATGTGTAAACGGCAACATAGCCACGGGCACAGGAGAAATGCAACTAGCTAGATATTCTTGCACTGCTCCACTGTACAGAGAGGATGAGGGCTGCAGAGTAAATCATGCAAGCATCAGAGCAAAGGCATCTCCCTTACCAGGGCCTCGCACGTTGACATCCATGCAATCTGCATCAATTTCACCTTGCGGCGGGGTGGGGGCCATGGAAGAGATGCGAAGGTCGGCTGCATCCAGGTGCTGTTGGGTCCACTGCCTGTGATCGGTCTGATCGTCCGCGTCCGGCAGCATCGCCTGCTCCTCAAACTAAGGAAGGAGAAAAGGAAGCTGCAAGTCAGACCCCAAGGAATAAGCAAGAGACGATGCAAAAAAGCAGGGTTAACACACAAAGCGGTGTAAGACTCAAAGCTACATGGGCATCCCACGCCGGTTGAAAAGGGGCTTTCCGAAGTTGTGATCAGCCTGGTATGGAACCTGAGAGCCTAAACCCTGGTGTAGCGTCTCCTCGCTGCCTAACGAACGAACTCTCCGCAAGCGAATGTTTCTGCTGGCTTACCCTGAACTTCTTAGTGTCCAAGGTTTCTTCATCACCCCATTCATTCTGGTTGTCATCCATCAAGGTGCCATCAGACGCATTTTTCAGGGGTCTTAAAAAAAAACAACAACGCAAGTGATTATTCCTGGGAACACCGAGAGACAATGACTCACATGCTCTGCAGGCGCAAAACTAACTGAAGAAAGTCACCGCGATTTACAGAACACTTTAAAATCCCCACAAAGCTAGAGCATTGCTCTCCCCTGGCAACCCCTTCTTCCCCCGAGAACGCTTTATAACCTTTTCCTTGGCTGTAGCATCGAAAGCACGAAAGGAGACGCTTCCCAGCCCTCCGCAGCATTTCACAGGTTAACTGCCGGATTACTCACTTCAGTCCCACGGAATCCTCCCCCAGCGGTTCACGTCGCTTCTTCTTGCTCGACTCCGTCACTTTGAAGCCTTCTGGGAACCAGAGCTGCCCGTGTTCCCTGCGCCGCTTACGAGAGACCACGACTCCCACGCAAATGAAAGCGAGCAAGGCCAGGACGGCCACCACCACATACATAGGATATAACTGGGTGTTCCTTGGGAGCTCAGCTGTTTCGCCTAAAAAAGAGCAGGGTGCATGGCGAAACTGAGACATTAAGCTGCATAGCAAACTGGTGACAGAGCGCAAATGAAGCAAAATTAGTTAATAGGAGTACCTATGGCTGAGCTAAATCATTCCCCAAAATAAGGTCATTTTATACGCTATTAATCAGAATTGCAAACTATCGGCAAATTCTCCGCTGCACAAGCCGGCTGCATCAGGAGACAGCTTTACTTTTTTCTCCTTTAAGGAAAAGGATTAGCAAACTTCAAATCGCTGCGCTCTCATTGAGCTGTTAAGACAAAAGGATTCAGGGGGATTTCGAAGATACAAACTCCAGCTCCTCACATGTCATGATTGATTGGACTTGGTGGTTCCTCCCCCCCCCCTTTTTTAGCTGTAATGATTTTGAAATAAACCCGAACTAAGCAACATAAAAAAAAAATACAGAATTAGTTTATTAACATAGATTTAAACAACCTAAAGATTCAAGGTTATTAAAGCTGAACTGTCTCTGGATACAGCCTTCGGAGCTTGGCTGGCTGATAATTGGATCACGGATGTCTGCTGGAAAGTTTCAATCACCTCCAGTCTCAATCCCGCCAACAGCTGCCAGCTCAACTTACTTTTAACGGCTTCTATTTTGTAGGGGATGTTCAGGTTACCCAGCGAGGCCAAGGCACCCAGGAAAGCTGCCACGTCAGTTGCGCTCTGAAAACATTGCGAGGAGGAGACGATGCACTGGCGGTTGTCGATTTCCAAGTAGACGATGGATCTGCATGGGAGGTGAGCAAACAGGCATAGGGGACAGCCATCAGACTGAAGAAGAGTCAAGACCTAGGTCTGTTCTCCCCCTAGCCCCACATCGGGATGGGTGAAGGTGATGGGAACAGACTTGTTTGCTCACGCATAGCCCAAATCCTGAAGACTGAAGTGTGACATTAGCCGGAGCTTTGCCTATCGGAGTTTTACCTAGGTGAGGATGGCAGGATTTAGCCCCACCAGTGTGTCAGCTGTTCAGTAACACAGGAATGTCTTTCCATAGCAACGACAGACATTGCACACACATGGTAGGGTGCTAAATAACAATACAACATGGGGCCTGAATTAGGGAGGTGAAAGGTTAATCGGTTAACCGGTAACCGGTAGGGACTGGAGCAGCCTCTGTTCGTGGTGGGCCCGAGTGTCCTGTGGGCAGGGGCTGTGCCAGCATCTGGAATAGCCTCTGTTCGCGGGGAGCCCAGCCTCCGGCGAGGGCTGGGAGCCGGCAGCCAGCCCCAATACAGGGCTGCGAGCGGGAGCCCCACAGGCTGGGGGCTACTCCGCATTCTCTTGCCTGGATCCTGCTTGGTCAGTTAACCAGTTAAACATCAGGTTGACGTAACATTTAACCGGTTAATGGGGATTTTACATCTCTAGCCGGAATCTCTTCTCCCACCAGCTTTACCCCATTGTATCTCCACTGGCCCCATCATATCTCCGGGGGCAGGGGAGGGGGAGCTATTCCTGACTCCTGCCGCTCAGAGTGAAGAGAATTGGGCATAGAGCCCTTTTCAGCAAGTGTCTCAAAGCATCTTGCAGCTCTGCAGTCATGAAAGGCTCATACCAGACCTCTACAATCAGCATTTCCCAGGAGGAACTTGAGGCTTAACTACAGGACTTCCCAAAATGAGAGTCAACCTCATGCTGACTGCGTGAGCTCTCTGCCTGACTCCTGGCCAACACCTGGGACTCTGGTAGTCACATCAGCTGTAGCACTGGTTGAAAAAAAATTCCAAACCAGAAACTGGCAGCATTTACACTCCCTTCCCAGCTTTTCTGGCAATTCCCGTTGATATTTAAGTACTCCATTCTCATTTTCCTTACAGCAGATTATTAATATCAACAGGGCAAAATAACTATTCGGTGAGAGCCTTTCCCCAGCCCCCTCACCCTCTGATATCCATCTGATCCAGCTCTCTCCGCTGTCTTCCGCTGACCCGCGATGAGAGGGACGTCTTTACTGTGTTGAAGACTGCGCTGGGCACATCTGCCCAGTTCTCCGTCGACCTCTTGATGTGGTGCTTTTTCAGCTCCTCTTCGTTGCCGTAGTAGGGGAAGATCATGTACTCTCCCTTGGGGTTCTTCTTGAAGACCACGTTGGTGTGAAGGATGCGGCTTAGCTCCCGGAGGAAGTTGAAGGAGTTGTTCTTCAGGTTCTCGGGGGTTATCAGGACCACTACCACCAATGTGCCATCCGCAAGTTTCTCAGGCATGTTGTTGGCACAGTCCAGCCCGTCCCATTCACACTCAGCATTGTTACACCCCTGGTCGCAGTGACCATCTGAAAAGTGATCTTTACAGTACTGGTCATACAGAGGACTACCCCCCCCCAGCCACTCTTATTCTCCAGCTACTAAGGTAGTACAGTACTAGGAGTTTCAAAGTTTTCTCTCTTGTAACAACAGCACTGCTCACCCGGACACGTCCCAAATTGCCCTATCAAGAGGGAACCGCTTTAGGCAACACTGAAAAGCAACCACTTCTGGGGCAAAACACGGCAGCTATTAAACTGTTGGTAGCAATTGAGAACAGGAAGTGAAGACAATTACTTTGACCCAGGGAAATGGAGAGGAGCAGAATGCAATGACTCAAAAGAGTTTGTCTAGGAACCAGAGATCAAGTCTGTGTTATTGCACTAAAATGCTCAGTCTGCATCAGCAAGTAGTGGGGAGGGGGTGGCTCTTCTGAAAGCTGGTGCCATCGGCAGTATGCCAGCAGGAGGGCTTCAGCATTGGCCCATGTGCTCAGGATCTAACTCAGCTCCATATCTTGGGTTAGGAGGGAATTTACCCCCTGATCAGACTGGCAGAGACCCCGGAGGATTTTCACCTTCCTCGGCAGCATGGGGCCTGGGTCACTTGTAGGTTTAATCTACAGGTTGCACCATTCTAATCTGGCACCCTCGGAACCTGACCGGCGGGTCAAAAATTTGCCAAACCATGGGCAGCATTTCCAACACTTGCACTGTATCCTGGGCTCTTAGGGTATGTATACACTACAGCGTTATTTTGAAATATCTTATTTCGAAATAACATGTCTACACACAAAATGCATTTCGAAATAGCGCATCCACACTGATTGGACGCTGAATCGCATTTAAGGCCAGCCGGAACTGGTTCCGTCAAGGCATCAGGTCAGAAGTTACCTTGTGGCCAGGGTGGCCAGCAGGGCACCTTGGGAAGGGCTGGAGGCCCCCAATTTTGAAATAAGCATCTGCACAGCGCTTATTTCGAAATAGCAATTTCGAAATTGGCACTATTCCTCGTGGAATGAGGTTTACCAATTTCGAAATAAGCCCTCCGCTATTTCGAATTCATTTTGAAATAGCAGTTGGCTTGTGTAGACGCTAGGAAAGTTATTTTGAAATAACTTTGCTGTGTAGACATACCCTTCGAAGGCACTGAGGGGTCAATTAGAGCTAAATAACAGCACAGAACACTGAGAGCCAAGAACACTGGCGGCTGTAAACAAACTTTATGGGAAGTTGGGAAACTTGGCCATATCCATGCTAAGGGGACATCCAGCTAATTAAACTCATGCTGGACCACAGATGTTGCCAGACCAGAGAGTGCCGGACTAGAGACGATCAACCGGCAGTGTAAATGGCGGATTCTCTGTAATTTAGAAGTTGTAAGTCAAAACATGAGGACTTCAGTAACCAAGCCAGTGATTAGGGGTCTATTACAGGAGTGGGGGGGTGAGGTTCTGTGGCCTGCCATGTGCAGGAGAGCAAACTAGATGAACATGCCGGTCCCTTCTGACCGTAAAGTCTATGAGTACCACTCAGTTTCTTGCCAATTTCCCATGAAGCACCAACTGTGCCAAACGCGTCAAGGCCATTAAAGAATTTACCACAGTGGGGCAAATCTATACAGGGGGCTCCATCAGCAGAGGTGCCTAAGACGGAGCCAACAGGAGTGTCGTACATAATGGGGCAAGTAAATCAACCCCAGGAAGTCCCTGAACACCTACAACTCCCAGTGAAGTCAGCGGATGTCGAGGTTGCTCAGGACTTGGCTTCACCGGCTATGAAATCGCACCTAGAGAAGCTAAGCAAGAAAGGAGGCTTTGTCTATCTGGGTATTTTGCAGAAACAGTGCACGGACGTTCCTCTGATCATCAGGTGGAACCTCCAACCCTGGAGGTTTTTACGTCCCGGCCTGACAAAGCCCTGGCTGGGATGATGGAGTTGGGGTTGGTCCTGCTTTGGGCAGGGGGTTGGATGCAGTTACCTCCTGAGGTCTCCTCCAGCCCTAGGACTCAATGATCAGGCCAAGGATCATGGCTTTGAAGCGAACGCGGCGGGAGGGTACTTACTTGCACTGCCCTTCCACTTTCTGGCAGTCAAAGCCGTCGTACAGACACCCGGAGTTGTTGCACTGCGCATCGCACTTCCCGTCGTTGAAGTATTTCCAGCACTGCAGGGAATGGGAGCAGTTCTTCCAGGGGTCGTTGAAGTTGAGGGAACAGTCGCCTCCGTCCCAGCCGCAGGGGTGGTTGTTGCACTTCCCGTCGCAGATCTTGTTGCCCGCGAGGCCGGCGCAGACGGGGATCTCGCATTTCTCCTCGATCGTGGGCGGGATGATATCCTGGCCCACCCCTCCCTGGAAATCAAAATCCAGGATGTGGCAGTAGAGGCCGTTGAAGTTTGCAAGGCAGTTGCACTGGTAATACGGGGGGGCCTCGCTGAAGAACTCACAGGTACCCCCGTTGTAACAAGGGTTGGAAGTGCAGGGGCTGCTGAGGGGGTACTGGCAGTCTGGCCCCGTGAAGGCAGGGGCGCACATGCACTTGGAGCTCTTGTGGATGGAGATGCAGGTGCCGCCGTTCAGGCAGTGCAAGTTCCCGCAGGTGCGCGAGTCGTTTTCACAAGTGGCGCCCACGAAACCCTGGGGAGACCAAAGGCGGGGTTAGCGCGGCTGATGTCGCTGCCTTCAGCCTGGTGCAGGGGGAGCGAACTGAGAGGGAGGCCCAGTGAAAGCGGCAGAGCAAGAACCCACCACGCTGGGTCCATGCCCGGTGCTGGGTGAGACACCGAATTCTCACACTGTCCTTGGGGCCAGCCAGGCCAAAACGAGGGCTGTAAAATCCCCTTTAATTAGTTAACTGGTTACATAAGGGATTAACCGGTTAACTGATTAAACGGGGAGGGCAGGCTCCTGCATACCGGCTAACCTTTACCAGGTAAGAATCACCGCTAAAGGGCGATGCTTACTGGGAAACTGGTTTCCCATGAACATCACTAGCCAAAGCATGGAAGCAATACCCGTCCCATTACGTTTCTTTAGTAAATCACATCCCATGGGTGTTAGGTGCTTACACCCCGATGAAAATCATTGGGAATCAGGCACCGGTTCTGAAAAATCACAGAGCAGTACAGCCTTAATATTTACCTTGACGTTCCACATGGGAAAAGAATCGATTCGCTCCTCTACCATGCGATCCCCCTCCTCCACCCAGAGCAGGTCTCTTCCCCATACGGTATTTTCTAGCACTCCATCCGGTCCTGCTCTGAATGACCTAGGTAACGGAGCTTCCCTTATCTCCACCGGGAGCCTGTCCTATAGCCTTAGCAGATGACACCACTAGGCATTGTTCTCTTGATACCCAGCTGCAATCTCTTTCTGCCCGATATCCCCCTCTTGCCCGTAGGTGGGAGAATAGACGGCGTCCTCGCTTTGGGTCCTCTCTCTGCCACGGTCATGGCCCGCACGCCCTCACCCGGTTACCGCCCCCCACCACGTGGGGCCAGATTGTGAGCAGTCACGGCCACGTGGGGAGTCCTATTCTCGGCGGTGAGATGAGCGAGGAAGGGTTCACAGCCTGGTCCCTGTGGCCTGAGCTCCCTCCAATCTACCTGGACGCCTAGGTGCTGGAACCAGTGATGCCGGGGGTACTGAAAGATCCTAGTTTCCATTCTCTCCAGGGGTTACAGTTTGGTTGAGTGGCGCTCAGCCCCCCTGCCCTAAATAATTCCAGCCCCCCTGCTAGGACACAGATTTTCAGGCCAGAGGGATCATTAGATTCCCTAGCCTGCCCTCCTAGGAGCATGGTGCAGACTGTTGCATGCGCCCTGGAAGGCGTTCGCTACGTACCGGGGGGCATTTACAGATGAAGCCCCGGCCTGTGTTGCTCGCAACTGCACAGGTCCCGCCGTTCCTGCAGGGCTTGCCCTTGCAGCCGTCCACCACGGTGTCACAGCGACGACCTGCGGGGGGGAGGAGGGACCCATGAGTGTGACGTGTCACCAGCAGCCTCTGGTGCCAGGCCTTGCACGCACAGGACAGGGAAGGTTCGCTCACCGGTGTACCCCTGCCGGCATTCACACTTGTAGTCGTTGACGCGCTGCACGCAGTTCTGGGTCCCCCGCACGTCGCAGGGGTTGGACAGGCATTCGTTGACGTCCCCCTCGCACCGCTCCCCCACGAAGCCGGGTGGGCAGACGCAGCTGTAGCCGCCCACCCGGTCCGTGCACTTGCCGTTGTTGAAGCACTTGGGCCCCAGGGTGACGGGATCAAAGAAAGGGCTGCAGTCGTCAATGTTGATTTCGCAGTGCACCCCTGGGGACAGACACGGGGGGAGGGAAGATCCATGGTTAGTCTGAGTCACGTTTTGGGCTACCCCAGTGCCCGGGGGCTCTGCTCATCGTTGTGCTGGGCAGGGTACAAACCCAGCACAAAAAGGCAAGAGGCTTCCACTCTAACTAGGACAAGAGACAGGCAGACTGAGCGGGGAGTACAAGGAAACAAGGGGACAGTATTGGTCCGCCCAACAGGCTCTGGTCTCGGCTGCTCATGTAAGACAGTAGCAGGGCAACCAGGATCATAGAATCCAGCCCTCTGCCCAAGGCAGGACCATTCCCACTGCTGCGTGAGTAGCTGCTTGCCAATCTCCCAACGTCAGTGGGAGTCGAGGGCACCGGCAGGAGGTGCCCAGCAGGGTTACAACACCCCTGGCGTGTGTGGATGGCCGGGCTCACAAACGTCTGGAATCCAATATTCCTGCCGCTGCAGCCACCGTGAAGACCAGCGTGAGTACCCGGGCGCTAACGAGCACCTACCAAGGACGTCTCTCCACCCACGTACCTTGAGTCCCTCTGGGGCAGGAGCATTTGTAGGTATTGATGAGATCGATGCAGGTTCCTCCGTTTTGGCATGGGTGAGACAGGCACGGGCTCACAAACGTCTGGAATCCAATATTCCTGCCGCTGCAGCCACCGTGAAGACCAGCGTGAGTACCCGGGCGCTAACGAGCACCTACCAAGGACGTCTCTCCACCCACGTACCTTGAGTCCCTCTGGGGCAGGAGCATTTGTAGGTATTGATGAGATCGATGCAGGTTCCTCCGTTTTGGCATGGGTGAGACAGGCACTCGTTGATCTCCTCTGAGCAGTTAACTCCATGATAGCCAGCAACACACTGCGAGGGAAGAGCGAGGGGAGCCGTTAGTTAATTCACTCCGCTAGCGAAGCTTTGGTTCGCTTCTCAGGTTCCCATTCTGGTCCCATCCCCGCAGTCTCTGCATGCCTGATTTCTTCCGTCAGTGGTCATGCGGGGGCTAGTCTAGTCTCGATTAAAGGCCAGGCTGCCCAAAGCACGGGCTAAACGCCGCTTCCACGCTCTCCACCGGGATACCTCCGTATTGCGGCTGCAGCCTACTCCAGGGGCTGCCCAGAGGGAATTAGTCAATTGCCAATGAGGCAGTGTGGTTTGGCCAAAGTTTGGCCAGCTTTGTTCACAGGAGAAAGAAAGAAATGAGCACGTGCAAAGCACCCGCCATGCGGGATCGCAAAGCACTCTACCACCACGAACGGGTTAGGATTGGCCTGGCACCAGCTGTGCCATGAATCCTGCTTTCTGGAGGGAGAAGAGTTAGCCCCAGAGACGTAAAATGCCTCATCTAAACTTGCAGAGTCAGTGGGAGAACCCAAGCGGCCTGCGTCCCAGCCCTGTGCGCTAACCACTAAGCCCCTGTGCTCCCCCAGAGCACTGCTGACGGCAGGTAGTCCGTGGCAGCCAGGCCGTGTACCTCACAGGAGTAGCCTCCCAGGTAGTCCGTGCATGTAGCTCCATTCTGGCAGGGGTTCGGGGAGCACTCGTCCACCTGCTCCTCACAGTAGCTGCCGGTGTAGCCAGCCTGGCAGCGGCAGAAGTGGGTGTTGCCAGTATCCACACAGAGGCCGGAGTTCCTGCACAGGTGCGCCACGTCGACGTCTGGAAGAGCACAAGGCCGGAGAGCACTCAGTGAAGCACGCACGAGGCCAGTGACGCATGGGCACGAGTGTGCAAAATGGGCCTCTAAAGGGGAGGCTGCTCTTGGAGAAAAGAACCCCCATAGCGCTCTATTAGAAGTGCTGGGTCTTGGCCCTCACTCTGGCTCCTTGGTGTTGCTCCAGTGGTCTCCGGCCAGGCCCCGGGAGTCAATGTAAACAAGAGGCTGCTTTAGCTTGTGCCAGAAGCTGAACTAGCCCCCAGGGGGGCTGGGAAGCACGGAGGTGCAATGCGATGCACAACCACCTTTATCCCCATTTCCTGGGCCCCATGTCAAATAGAGCTTGGCCGTCCCTTGGGAATCCAACCCTAAACCTCCATGAACAACACACGCAAAGTCGTTCTTCTGCTCTACTCTGCGCTGACTAGGCCTCAGCTGGAGTATTGTATCCAGTTCCGGGCACCGCCCTTCAGGAAGGATGTGGAAAAATTGGAGAGGGTCCAGAGAAGAGCAACACAAATGATTCAAGGTCTAGAAAGCATGAACTATGAGGGAAGACTGAAAGAACTGGGCTTGTTTAGTTTGGGAAAGAGAAGACCAAGAGGGGACAGGAGAGCAGCTTCCAAGTAACTAAAAGGGTGTTACAAGGAGGAGGGAGAAAAATTGTTCTTCTTGGCCCCTGAGGATAGAACAAGAAGCAATGGGCTTAAATTGCAGCAAAGGAGGTTTTAGTTGGACATGAGGAAAAACTTCCTGTCAGGGTGGTTAAACACTGGAATAAATTGCCCAGGGAGGTTGTGGAATCTCCATCTCTGGAGATATTTAAGAGTACGTTAGATAAATATCTATCGGGGATGGTCTAGACAGTGCTTGGTCCTGCTGTTAGGGCCGGGGACTGGACTCAATGAGCTCTCTAGACTACAGTGCGTCTAGACTACATTGCTCTTTCGAAAGAGGAATGCAAATGAGTGAAATCGAAAATGCAAATGAAGCGCTGATTTACAAATCTCGAAAGAACCCTGTAAACCTCCTTTTTTCAGGAATAAGGGTTCTTTTGAAAAAGGGTTGGGTTTTTTTCCGAAAGAACCCCGTCTAGACTGCTTTTTTTTTTCCAAAAAAATCTCTTCAGAAAAAGCGATAGGAAGAGGTTACGAAAACGAAACACGAGATTTGTAAATCAGCGCTTCATTTGCATTTTCGATTTTGATTTCCCTCACTTGCATTCCTCTTTCAAAAGAGGAATGTAGTCAAGACGCACCCTCAAGGTCCCTTCCAGTTCCAGTGTTCTGTGATTCTGTGAATTCACCTGGCCCCAGGATGCTATTCACAAGACAGCTGTGAGGGTGGGCGTTACCTTGCTGCTTCGCAGCCACATCACAGGAGACGCTGGGGACGTCACAGTACAGGCCCGTCCACCCGCTGTTGCACTCGCAGCGGTACAGGTTGTGGGTCTGCCAGCACTTGCCTCCGTTTTTGCAGGGAGAGGAGTCGCACCAGCGTACCAGGTTCTGGGGAGAGGAGGAGAAGTTTATTATAATAATAATAGAGATTGCCTATCTCCTAGAACTGGAAGGGACCTTGAAAAGTCATTGAGTCAATCCCCTGCCTTCACAGCAGGACCAAGTACCATCTCTGATGACTTTTGCCCCAAATGGCCTCTGCAAGGATTGAACTCATAACCCTGGGTTTAGCATATCAATGCTCAAACCACTGAGCTATCCCTCCCCCCCAAGTTCATACTCTGGCAAGGGTCCTGTAGGGTGGCGGTTTTCAACCTTTTTTTTCCTCACGACCCAGTTGAAGAAAATTGTTGACACCCACAACCCAACATCATTTGACTAGAGTGGGGGCCCCAGGGTGGGGCTGAAGATGAAAGCTCTGGGGTGTAGGTGGGGGATCTGGCTCTGGGGGCTGGAGCAGGAGGGGCTTACTTTGAATGGCTCCCGGTCAGTGGAGCAGTGCGGGGGGCTAAGGCAGCTTCCAGCCTCTCCTGCAGACCCTCCTGTGGCCAGAAGCAGGTTCCCAGCCAATGCGAGTGCGGAGCTAGTGCCGGGGGCAGAGGCAGTGTGTGGAACCCTGTGCACTCTCCTGCCCCACCTAGGAGCCGGCCTGCTGCCGGCCGCTTCTGGGGCGCAGCGCAGTCGGCGGTGCCAGGACAGGCAGGGAGCTGCCTTAGCCCCCGCACTGCTCACCTGAACTCCCTGCAGCAACGAGACCCAGCCCCCAACATTCCACCCCCCAGTCCTGGGGAGCAACTCGTAATCTGAAAACCACCGGTGTAGGACATGAGTAGGTAGGGGATAAATGAGGCCTGTGGATCTGGGGTGCTGATCTGCAGTGAACCAGGGGCACAGCCTCCACCTGTGTAAACCGGCAATCCTTCCAGGTGGTTACGTGAGGATCTGGCCTCCTGTGATTAACAGGCTGATTGTTCTTTACCTGACAGTTGAGGCCGGTGTAGCCCTGCGGACAAGTGCACTTGTAGGTCCCATAGCTGTCCTGGCAGGTGCCCCCGTTCAAGCACGGCTTAGAGTCACATTCGTTGATGTCGTGCTCACAGTAGCTGCCCGTGAAGCCAGGGGGGCACACGCAGGTGAAGGTGTTGATGCCGTCCACGCAGGTCCCCCCATTAAAACAGGAGCTGGCAGGAGAGGAAACAAACATTACTTCCAAATACGCACCAAGCACGACTGTAACGGCCTTCTCCATCCGCGGCTCTCCAAGCCGGCTAACAAACATTAACCGATGAAGTCTCAAAATCCCACAAGAGGCAGGCAAGCACACAAACGGGGGAAACTGAGGCACGGAATGCTTGCGTGTCATCCGCACAGTGGCACAACTAGAAACAGAACTCAGGGCTCCAGACTGCACCCTCCTCAAGTAAAAGCTCAGCCGGTGGGGTTGTCCTTTTCCCCAGCTAGCCCCCGACACATGAAGAGTTCATGGCGTTTTTAGAAATCTCTGGGCTTGCAATGTGAATCCGTTTTAATGACTGGAGCAAAACCCTCCTCGGTGGGGCCCAATCTTCATTTCCTGACTTTGCATAGGGTACCCACGTGGCTATTTGCTGTTACATCTGAGCCGGTGATGCCCTTGAATGTAGTAACCCGCACAGCCCGCTGGGGAATACTTGCCTCCCGCCCCCCAAAGCAACCTGCCCAGGGTCAGGGAGCAAGCAGAGTCCAGTCCAGTGCTTCAACCCCAACTCCAAAGGGAGCGTGGGCTGGCAAAGGGCTGCTTATCATGAGGCCCTCAGACATCAGCTCCTGGGCTTCAACAAGGACCACAGAGTCTCACCTATGGGGCCTGATGCAGGTCTATAGAAGACAGCGGGCACTTTCCAGGCCTGCCGACAGGAGGGGTGGCAAAGGGGGCAGTTGCCCCAGGGCCCGGCAATTCCAAAGGGCCCAGGACTCGCGGACGCTGTGACTGTGGCATCCGCCTCACCAGGAGCCCTGAGTCCTTTAAATCCAGCACTGGGGCGGGTTCCCTAGGGAGGGGGTGGAATCTCCATCCCTAGAGGTGTTTAAGTCCCGACTTGAAAAGCCCTGGCTGGGTTGATTGAGTTGGGATTGGTTCTGCTTTGGGCAGGGGGCTGGACTCCATGACCCCTGAGGTCTCTTCCAGCCCTGCGATTCTATAAATCAGAATTTCTCAACTGTTTTTTATTGACTCATAGACTTTAAGGTCAGAGGGGACCATTATGAACATCTAGTCCGACCCCCTGCACAATGCAGGCCAGAAAATCTCACCCAACCACTCCTGGAATAATCCTCTCACCTATATCTCAGACCACAAGATGGTTTAAAGACCCCAAGATGCAGAGAATCCTCCAGCAGTGATCCGTGCCCCATGCTACAGAGGAAGGCGAAAAACCTCCAGGGCCTCTGCCAATCTACCCTGGAGGAAAATTCCTTCCCAACCCCAAATATGGCGATCAGCTGAACCCTGAGCATGTGGGCAAGAAAGTACCCTTTAAAAAAAATTATAAGTCCCCTCCGTACCTACAGTTTTCAGACACCCACATTTTTTTCTACCATTGCAACACATTTGTTTAAACAACTTCATCGTAGCTGGGTGGGCGATGAAATTTTTGGGTGTAAAAAGTACAGAAATAATAAAGCGCTGCGAAACTTAAAACAAAAATTCAGTTTTCTCCAAATTTCGGTTGTGTTGCTGGACCCTGCTTCCCCCAGACTTCTCTCGAGAACCCCTAAGGGTACTCGGATCCCTGGTTGAGAAACACTGCTATAAACAAGAGCCTAAGGGGTGGCTCTTAGGGCTGCCGGGGAGGTGAGGTTGTGGCAGGGCACGCTCCAGACAATGGCTGACCGCCCCAGCCCCCGCCCCTTCTACCTGAAGCCCCGCCCCTTCCAGGAGGGGGGCACAGCACCAGCTCTTCCCCATATTGCTCAGGGGCCCGGCGAGGCTGTCAGCTCCCCTAGAGTTTTCCTATTGAAGTCAATGGGAGCCGAACGAGTCCTTTCCTTCGCCCTTTCGCAAGATTAGTTTAAACCAGCGGTCTTCAAGCTTTTTATGCATGAGATCACTTTTTGAATTTACGTGCAATCCAGGATCTACCTCACACCCAAACACCCTGCCCCTTCTCCAAGGCCCCATCCCTGCTCACTCCATCCTCCCTCCCCCATCCTCACTCACTTTTATGAGGCTGAAGGCAAGGGTTTGGGGTGCAAGAGGGGTTCAGGAGTGGGGCTAAGGTTTGGAATGTGGGCTCCAGCTGGGCACCACTTACCACAGGTGGCTTCTGGGGGGTGGCGCAGGGGGCTAAGGCAGGCTCATCCCTCCTCTGGCCCTGCACCACTCCCAAAAGCAGCCAGCAAACTCCATCCCTGCTTCCCTCGGCTCCGTGGAGTTGGGGTACACAGCTGGGGGAGGGGCACCCTGACATCAGCACCCCCCCTCCTCTTCTTCCCGTGCCCTGCACAGCAAGCAGGAGGCTCCCAGGGGCGAGGGGCAGTTCCAAGGCAGAGGGCAGGAGCAGCAGGGCAGTGCTGAGGTGCAGATAAAGTGCTGACATTTGACAGCCTCCCGGCCAAACCTGTCAGGATCACCCATCAAAGGCCCCAAGATCTACCCAGGCTCCTCAAGCAAATCCAGAGCAGAGAGGAGATTCCTCTGGGGAGACAGGACACCTGCCTTCCCCGATATAGCATCCTATAGGGCCACCCCCAATGCCACTGGCCAATAGAGTGAGCGCCTCCGGGCTGCTGGGACACTTGGCAGTACAGCCACGCATGACCCACCGTCGCCCCCTGCAGGCAGCCAGGTGCTCAGCGTCCCAAGCCGGTTACCTTTCTGTGCAGTCCGGTGTGTTGTTCTCACAGTGGATCCCGCTGAAGCCGGAGGGGCAGGTGCATGTGTAGCTGTTGACGCAATCGGTGCAGTTGGCCCCGTTCTTGCAGGGGTTGCTGGCGCACTCGCAGCTGGGGTGCTGCTGGGTTGGTCTGGAGCGGCGCTGCGGGACCAACCCGGCAGCTCCCAGCTGCTCTACCCCAGGGGTAGGCAAGAAAAGCCTGGTCTGCTGGGGGGGGGGCACTAGCGGCACCCCCCCCCCCCCCCCGCACAGCAGCAGCAGCGGAGCCAGGCAGCCTTCATGCGGCGTGATCCCAGAACGCCGCCACCTCTGAGCAGCCAGAAAACGGGGCAGTTCAGCCAGGAAAAGCACCCAGCCCAAAGAGAAGCCATCTCCAGCTGTGGGCTTCAGAGCTGGCACCGACTCCCCAAAGAGCCAGCATCTCCCTTCTCTGCCCTTTGCATTGCCACTTGTGCCAGGGCAGAGCAGGTGTGAAATGCTGCCCTTCTGATTCACACCCATTCGGCCCTGACTTAAATAACGCCACGGGCATGGAGAATCCAGTCCAAAAGCTCCGGTTCCCTTTTGGACGTGGGTGAGGGGACCTTTAAAACCACACAAAGTGCCCCGGATGGCATTAAAAGGGCAGCCCCATGCCCGCCCCCGCCCCCTACGCAAAGGGGAGTCCCACATGCTACTGCGGGGGAACTGTGGCAATGGCAGGCTTTGTTCATAGCGGAGCCCGTGAACGGTGAGCCAGGAAAACACTGATCACTGGCATTTTGGGACTCTGCGTTGTAGTTACACGTTGCAACAGCTGGTGGCCCTCACCCTTCCACTGTCCCGTGTCCTGCCCTCCCCGAAAGCCTTCCTGCCAGCTGGAATTTAGTGCCTGAGCAAGACAGATCCGTGTAAGCTCTTTTCGGGAGTTCCAAACTCATCGCTGCAGGTTTCTGCTCCGTGAGCAGCCTCTGCACCAGGTGGCCCTGACGCCAGACCCGGAGGAGACGCGGGTGTCCGGGGCTGTGGCTACCCCTGCGATTTAGCCACCCGCTCTGAGCGCGGACGCTCGCCAGCGCTTACTTGGCTTGCAGTCGTCAATGTCGGTGTCGCAGGTGCGGCCGGTGTAGCCCGCTTTGCAGTTGCACCAGTAGCTGCCATTTGTGTTCTGGCACGTGGCGCCGTGGCGGCAGGGGTTTTTCACGCATTCGTTGATGTCGATCTCACACGTTTGGCCTGCGAGAGGAAGAGAGGGAAATCGTGAGCACTTGAATGGCCTGGGAGGAGTACGGCAACCACGGTTTCTCCCAGCGCCGGCTACAGAGCAATTCACCGCTGGCTGACGCTTGTTCTCATGCAGGCTGCTGCCAAGTGCTCTTTGAAAGGGTTTCTCTGGAAGGGCTCTCACACCGCCCTGTGCTTTTGCTCACATCTTGTCAACCGATCTGCAGACCAGAAAGGCCTTTGCAAAGGACAAGTCAAGGGAGCTGTACGCTTACAAGTGAAACTGCACGACTCCCCTGCGATGCGGAAGTACCATTATTCCCACAGGGAAAGGAGGAGGCTGCAGCACGCACAGGGGGTGTGAAGTGACACAGTTCAACCCTGGTTCTCCTGCCCTTAACTAGGCCACGCTCCCAACCCTTGTTGAGAGATTCTCTGAGCCACAGAGGAAAGGGAAGACACAAAATCAGAAGAGGGTTCAGCATAACCTGGCTGCCCGGGAGCGAGCTCGGGGGGACGGATCCGCGCATGCTTCTGAGATCCCCTCCCTACCTTGCCAGCCTGAAGGGCACACACAGGAGAAGCTCTCGTAGTCCTCTGACTCTCGGCACTCCCCGCCATTCTTACACGGCCCGGCCGCGCACGGCGCCAGCACGTCCTCGCACGTAGCCCCTGTGGGCAGAGAGACAGAGACACATGTGGCTAAAGCTTTGTGGCAGGCTGCTGCCCCGGGTCAACGAAAGAGGGCAGGGCCTGGGACATGCTCGCTGCATCCCCGAGAAGTCTTGGGCTGGTTCCAGGCCGCGAGGAGCACAAAGGAGCTCGTGCTTCCTCCATAACGCCACCGAGGTCACTCCAGAATTCCCACCGATTTCACAGACACGGACACGCCTCGGTAGAGCGGCACTCCCCACCCAGTGACCGGCCTCTTGGAGGCCTTCCAGACAAGCTCCTTAGGACTGGGATGTCCCATTGGCTGTGGGGTCTTTGAATGGCTTGACTTGCTGCCGGCTCCCAGTCCAGACACAGCCTAGACACCCACCTCTCTGATTCTAAATATTAAAATGATGGAGACGATCCAAAACCCAAGCCTTCAACGGAAAGGAAAGCACAGTATTGGCGAGGGGAGGGCTTTGCCCTGAACGGTCGTTTTTCCTGTTTATACACTAGCCTAGGGCAAAATTCCCTCCAAAATGTTATCGTCCTTGTCCGGCTGTTATCTTCTAGGCTGGCCTTTGCTATTTTCCAGAGCCTTCCACTCTCCTCCCCACCCCCTCGGGTTTCTATGGCGACTGGCGAAGAGAGGAAACACGTCATGGCTTCCTACAATTGTGCACATGTTGCCATTTTGTGCAAGAGGAAGCAGGAAACTGGCCAACAGGAATCAGGTCAGCAGAAATTCCTCCCCCCTACGGCACCCGCGGCCCGACCTGCTGCATATTTTCCCAAAAGGAGCGTCGGCGGGTAAACAGAGTTGTTCACAAAGCAGACCCTGACAGGGGGACAGGACTGAGCGCAGCGCGGCCGCAGCCTGCTTTCTTGAGCGACCCAGCGCTGGGCGAGGAGCAGAACAGGGGCCCCGGGCCCACAAGCCACATCTTTGCTTCTGTGTGAATAGGAAAGGGGCAGGGAAGAAGCACGAGTCCAAAATCCTGCCCTGCCGCTTCCGAAAACTCCTTGGAGTTTCCTTTTCCAAGGCTCGGCGGGGCCAAAACAATAGGGGAAGGGACTGTGGGCTTCACAGCAATATCTGTTCACACACCACGGGTCAGCCCCATAGCGTCTCGTATGCCGTCCCACCTCCTCAGCGCCTGGAAGCTGGCGTAACTCCGAGGAAGTCACCACTGCCGCTTGGACTAGCACCAGCTCCTGGGGTGTGCGCACCAGGGAAGGAGACTGAATGATGGGCCAAGCCTCGCTCCCGCCGAAGTTACTAGTGTACCTCTCCTGCAGGGCAGCCCTGCCTGGGAAGGGGGAAAGCTGCGGTGCTCCGTGCATCCCTTTTCGGGGCTAAGCTTCTGTGGGGAAAGGCGGCAGGACCCAAAAGCCCGTGTAACGTTCAGCACGGGCTGCCCTCTGACCTGAGTATGGCAGGAGACAGTTGCATTGGTAGCCGGCTACGTCATCGATGCAGGTCCCCTGATTCAGGCATGGGTTGGAGGCGCATTCGTTGATGTTGGTTTGGCAGTTGGGCCCTGGGTCAGAAGAACCAAACACACATCAGCCACCTCCGGGCCATGGGCGGTGGGTGAATCTAGGGCTGAGAGAGGCAACCCCCCCCCAATCCCACCTCTTCCAACTGAGGCCCGGCCCCCTTCAAGAGCCATGCTGCCCCCCAGGGATAGGGCTCCAGCTCTCCCACCCTCCCCCTGACTGCCGGGGCAGATCTCCAGCCCCACATTACAGGGAGGGAGGGCTACACACGGCCCCAGCCTCAGCATGGTGGAAGCCCGGAGGCAGCCCGGGAGCCACACTGAAGCGGGGGGGCAGAGTGTGGGCGGGGCCACACATGGCAGTCTGGGAAGGCAATACCTTCCCCTGCCTCTTAGACGGGTCACCCATGCTCAGTGGGCACCATGAGGGCGGCTTCCTCTGTGGCCGGATGGGAAGGCAAGAGAAAAGAACAGGAGGGCGAGATATGTGAGGCAAAGATGCACACAGAGTCCACAGAACCCCTTGGCTGCTTCTAGAGGTCACCCCACAGAAGAGGTGAAGCGTTTTACTCCTGTTCCTGGCTAAAGGAACATCCCCTTTAGCTGAACTTGTGGCCACAGCACGTTTAGTGCAGAAGGGCCCAGGTCCAGTGCCTCGTGCTAAACCATCCGTTGTTGCTTTTCCCAGAGGTGCGTCAGAAGAACATAAGAACATAAGAACGGCCGTACTGGGTCAGACCAAAGGTCCATCTAGCCCAGTGTCCTGTCTGCCGACAGTGGCCAGCACCAGGTGCCCCAGAGAGGGTGGACCGAAGACAATGATCAAGCGATTTGTCTCCTGCCATCCCTCTCCAGCCTCTGACAAAGAGGCCAAGGACACCATTATATCCCCTGGCTAATAGCCTTTTATGGACCTAACCTCCATGAAATGATCTAGCTTCTTTTTAAACTCTGTTATAGTCCTAGCCTTCACAGCCTCCTCTGGCAAGGAGTTCCACAGGTTGACTACACGCTGTGTGAAGAACTTTCTTGTATTACTTTTAAACCTGCTACCCATTAATTTCATTTGGTGTCCTCTAGTTCTTCTATTCAAGGAACTAATAAATAACTTTTCTTTATCGGCCCTCTCCACACCACTCATGATTTTATATACCAGCGTTGTTTCTCTTCCAATAAGTTCCCACAAAACTATCCGCCGCACCCACCCCCCGCTCTGCAGTGAGCAAGTAGCAACAGCCCTTACCGCTGAATCCCTCCCGGCAGGTACAGATGTAGCCACTGGTCATATCCTTGCAGGTGCCCCCATTCGCGCACGGGTTTGACTCACACTCGTTGTTGTTGATGTCGCAGTTCGTCCCGCTCCAGCCCGGGTCACAATCACACCTGTAGCTTTTGTCGGAAAGAAAACGATAAAGCGCAGAGCCCCGCCTCACTCCTTCCCCCCGCCTCTTTGATTTGGTGCGCCTCAGGACCGGCCTGAAGCCCAAGCCCCCAATCGCATCGAAGCAGAGGAAAGGGCTCCTTGCGAATCCTGGATGACGTGCCGGCTGGAGAAACGGCACGTCAGAGCAGTGGTCACCAGCCAGTCGATCAGGACCTGCCGGTAGATCTTGGAGCCTCTGACAGGTGATCCTGATTGGTTTGGCTGGGAGGCTATGAAGTGCCAGCACTTCAGCTGCCCCTCCGCACACTGCCCTGCTGCTCATGCCCAGAGTCGCCTCCTGCTTGTTGTGCCGGGTGGGGGAGACAGAGGCCGGGAGGGGGGGGTGCTGATGTCACTCTGTCCCCCATCTTCACAGAGTAAGGAGGGTGGGGCCTCAGCAAAAAGGTGGGGTAGGGGCAGGGCCTCGGAGAAGGCGAGGGGCAGGGGTATTTGGGTTTGAGGTAGATGCTGGACTGACTAAATTCAAAAAGTGATCTTGTGCTTATAAAGGTTGGAGACGGCTGCGTTAGAGGCACCTTGGTAGGACTGCAGGACTCCAGAATTGTAAGAGACCTGCATTACATCAAAGACTAGATCTCAGGTTTGAATCGTTCGGGGGGAAGGAGGGGCGGAGAGGGGGAGAGAGAGAGACGACAGCTCTTCTCTCCTGGAAACTCAAGTTCAAATTTGGGCTTCTGCAAGTTCCCAACTCAGCATGGCCTCCCAGACCGCATGGCAGTCTTACTCAGTAGAAGCCAGCTGGCCATGTACAGCAGCAATCGGCTAGAGCATTGCAAATCCGCGGACATCTGCTTCATATCCGCGGGTATCTGCAGGCGTGGCTGCACCGGTGGGTATCGGTGGCTCCTTTCTGCCGATACAGATGGCTCTAGAAATGGGTGCGCTGCCCGAGCTCTGCGTGGGAGCCCCGCTCCGGCATGGCAGGAGGGCTGGGGAGCAAGGTTTGGGTGTCGGGGCAGAGCTAAACTGGAACTAGCAAGGGGCGCCGCTGGGGTGCGGAAGGTGCAGGAACAGAGCTGTGGGGACGCCTTCCTGGAAACCTACCCATTGAGCCCATCGTTGCATTTGCCGTGGATGCAGGGGTTGCTGTTACACTCGTTCACTTCCAGCACGCACATGGGGTCGTGGTATCCCTCGGGGCAGAGGCATGTGAAGCCATTAATGCCGTCCTTGCAGGTGCCGCCGTTGTGGCACGGGTTGCTGGCGCACTCGTCAATGTTGATGTTGCACATTCTCCCTGCAAAGAGGCGGAGCCAAAGAGTGTCACCGCCCTGACGCACACAAGGCATAGCTCTCACATGCCTCCTCAGGGCATAATAACAACAACAGAGGCTCGGGGCAGGTAGGCAGGACTCCCACGGAGTGCAACGGGCCCCCAGCTGGGTAGGACGGAGACTCCGAGCGATGCTGGTAACGTTTCCCAGCCACAAGTGGGATCAATTTTGTGTTGTGCACCAAGGGATGCGCACCACCAACAGAAACAGTGGCTGGCGGGCGCGCTGCGAATCAGCCGGACGGCATCTGAATTTTGCCTGGGTGGCCGCCCAAGCGCTCAGCTTACAGGGAACCCCGGATGCTGGTTCTAAAGGTACATGCACCAGCTGGGCCGGTGACCTGCAGCACGACTCCTCTTTGGCAAAGTGACTTAGCGGTGGCTGGCTTGCCCTCTCCTCTGACACAGAGTTGTAGGGAGCGAGGCCAGCCCTGACACTACTTTGGCTGCAGGATGAAACAATGAAGAGGAGAGCTCTCCATCTGTAACCCTACCTGCTGGCAGCCGGGCAAAGAAAGGCCCCATTGAAAGCCCCTGGCAGCAGGCATTGGGCAGAGAGGCTCTGCAAAGCTACCCGCCCCCACTGCAGGTGAGCAGGGAGCCAGCTGGGCTCTGTGTATCAAAGGACGTACACATTTTCCAGCAGCGGTCAAACAAACCAGTTAGACGAGACAGCAACCTGATACCCATGGGATTTGACTGTGCGGGAGCTTAATCAACAGCTTTCGGCTCTTTCTCTGGCTGGACTCAGCTAAGTCACCTGCCCAGCCGGCAGGAGCCCCAGCCTCTCCCTGGGAGTGTGAACAGCACCTTTCATGGACCAGCGGGCACTGTGGCAAGGAGGCAGGGACAGGATCTACCCGAGTGTCCCAGGCAAGCTTCAGGTGCAGGTAGGCCAAGCACGGAGCCTTTTGAAACAGCCTGAGGGGGACTGGCCGTGAAGGCTACAATTTCCAAGGCAATCAGACTTTGGAGCCCTGTGCGCCGCCCCCCCCCCCCCCTTGAAAAATCTGGTCCTTTGGTGAAGTCTCGATTTGGGGGCCCTAGAAATGGAGGCATCCCGGGTCTCCGGCCACTTCTGTCTGGAGGAGGTCCACCTCTCTCTCCACAGCTGGAGAGTTCCTAGCAGCAGGGCGCCTGCCTGGCCCTGCGTGGCGAGGTTAAATCTTTGTAAATTCTCTAAATAAACAGGTCTTCTCCTCTACACTAACTCCTGCCTACGGTAGAGATGGCTGTTCTCTGGGGCAGGGCCTTTTTTATTATAGTGCGTACAGTGCCTAGCATAGGGCTGCCAGATGGTTTCACAAAAAATACCGCCCCCGCCCCGCCAAAAAAAACACGCTGGGAAAAAATTCTGTTGAGAAAAAAAAACAAGGCAGTCGTGGCCCCTTTGGTTCCTGGGATGCTCCAAACTCCCCCGGTCCAAGCAGGCATGAGCTGCGCCACACGTCCCGAGCAGCCTTCAGTCGGGTGCCCAAACAGGGCCGTGGGAAAAATAGAAAATACCGGACATTGTAGATGAATTTTTTTACCGGATGGAAGGTGCAAATACTGGGCTGTCCAGTTCAATACCGGACACTTGGCAACCCTAGCCTAGCACAATGGGCCTTCGTCCCTGGTAAGGGCTCTAGGTCCTACCATCATAGAAAGAATAATCCGTCATTTCACAGTGTCTTCTGCCATTACCTCCTCTTCGCCCCAAGCCTCAGCCGGGGAAGGGACGTTGCAGGCCCCACTCTGGCTCTGCCTCCAAAATTTGCGGGTGGGATTTAGGGTATTCAAACCTCTCAGGACCCCACTGGGCTTGCAAATCAGAGGAGCTGGTTAAAGTTTGGGGGGGAAATCCAGCCCAGCGGCAGCTCTCACCTGTGTAGCCCGGCTCGCAGGCACATTCGTAGCCATTGATCTTGTCTTGGCACTTGCCGTAGTCACACGGGTTGCTAGCACAGTCGTCCAGGTTGATTTCGCAGTTGGGCCCTTCCGGAGGAAAATGTTGTGAGATGTTTACAGGCCTCAGCCAGGAGACAAATACAGTCAGAAGAGAGTGGCGCTGGGGGTGGGGAACTGAGGCATTCCTCTCCCTCCCCCGCAAACACAAGTCCTTCTTGGAAAACTCTCCACAGTCGGCGGTTCGGAAATAGAGGCCAAACTGGGAGACATTTGCCCTCGCTGCAGGAAACCCAGAGGCCTTTTCCATAGTAGGCCAGACACTGGGAGACAACGCAAGTGCTTCAAGGAGGCCATGAGGTTGTGTTTCCATGACACACTTGCCTCAACTGATCACATGCCCACCCCCTCATGGGCAGACACTGGAGCCCTGCCAGACTCCGGACTGCCCGGCTCACCGCTACGACTGAGGGATACCCCCTCCTTACCTGTGGTGCCCTTGAGGCACAGGCAGTAGTAGGCGTTGTTCCTGTCCTGGCAGGTCCCTCCGTTTTTGCACGGCTGGCTCTGGCACTCGTTGATGTTGATGTCACAGCGGTGGCCTGTGTAGCCAGCCTGGCAGAGACAGGTGAAGGCAGCTATGCCGTCCCTGCAGGTCCCGTAGTGGCAGGGGTCAGGGTCGCATTCATTGATGTCGATTTCGCAGTGAGTGCCGGTAAATCCTGGCATGGGGAAAGAAGCCAACAGTCAAGCCAGCTCTAATGCAGGGCCCGGTGCTGAGAGGGGCAGAACACCCCCCCCCCTCCCCCCAAGAGCAGCAATGCTCAGAATCCCATCAGATCAGTCCCATAATACCCATGCTCCTTCCTTAAGCAGCTATGGGGAAGGAGAAGGGACAGGAAGGAAAAGTCTAACGTCTTCAGGATCACCCATTTTTCCTTCAGCCATCCACAGACAATTTCACAGTCACTCCACTTCCACTGGAGCTCGCCTATGTAGCACGCTGTCCGGTGCTCACTGCCATCGCCTCTAGAGCAGGGTTCCCCAAATTGTGCTCCATGGAACTATGGGGCTCCAGGCAATGGGTCCGGGGCCACCACGAAAAAATATTAATGACCGTTGCACGACCCTGTTATCTGACGAAGTGGGTCTTTGCCCACGAAAGCTTATGCTCCAATAAATGTGTTAGTCTATAAGGCGCCAAAAGACTCCTTGCCGCTTGTGAAGATTCAGACTAACACGGCTACCCCTCTGATACCTGTTATTTTGATACTCATTTTCTTGGGGGTGGGGAAGAATTTATAAGAAATAAAAATATAATTCAATTTTTTGATTTGGGTACCTATTGAGTTAAAAATCACCATATTTAAGGGCTCCATCAAATTTTCAGGACCACTCCCAGGGGCTCCGTGACTGAAAAAGTTTGGGTAACCCTGCTCTAGAGATACCCACAGCAGAGTCAGATGACACACTGGCTCCCCCAACCCAGGTCAAACGGGCTGCAGCCGAGATATTCCTCACAGGGCCACAGTTCCAGCCCTGACTGATCTGTCACACCAGCAGCTAACATTTGCCTAGTTGAAAGAACCTGGAACGAGAGCCCGGCCGAATTGCAGCTGCAGAGATTTGCAACATTCTTAAGCAGAAACAGGTTTGCAAACAGCAGATGGGGGAGGTGGCACCATTTTATCTTACCTCTGGATGAACTAGATAGGACACACCTTGCTCTTTAATGCAATCACAAGGGTTTTATCTACCTAGGTACCTGTCTGAACCCTGCCTTTCTATCTTCTCAAGCCTCTGTCACTGCTCAGCTCACAAACACGGCACTTCTCCAGGCAGCAGGGCTGTACTATTATTCCCTTTGGGCAGAAGGGAAACTGAGGCCCAGAGCCTTCCTTCTGGGAATCAGTGGCAGCAACAGGGAATTGAACTGGGTTCCCCTGACTCCCAGACTAATGCTGTAACCACTAGGCAATTCTGCCTCCTTAGTGCAAGGCTCAGCTGCCCACGGCTGTGTTTCACACTCCCTTCGCTTTCAGCGGGAGTGGAGGCCTCTCTGGGGAGAACAGGGCCTCAGTAGGCCAAGTTGCATGGAGAGCCCTGGCAACCCTCCTCCCTCCAATTAATAACCTCCTCCCCAGCCGAGCTCCCCCGGCACAGCGAGAGCCCAAGCCCGGGGGAGTCAATGGCGCTTTGCTTGAGAACGTGGCTGGAGCGCCCAGAACAAAAGCAGCTCCCCAGCCCTCCAACGAAAGGGCCTTTCAGAGCTGGGAGAGCTGGGCTTTGTCCTAGCGATACACAATGAGCAGCATTAAGCCGGCTCCACGCAGGAGCCCGTCCCTCGCTCGCCTGCCGGCCCCTCCGTGCGCTTGTCATGGAATCCGAGGGGGGCAGGGGCGCGCGCGCCCCAGAGGGAATAACGCTCGCGCCATTATCCGGCCCTACTCCGCTCCCAGAAGTGGGGGGGAGGAGGGCGGGGGCGGGGAGGACAAAGTAGAGCTTTGACTCTCCTCCATGAAACCCACATAGCAGCTTTTCATCGGGGCTTGGCATTAGCAAGACACTAATTAGAGGCCATTCAGCTGGAAGATTTCTGGCGGGAGCTGCTCCACAAAAGAGCCACTGTGTGCCACTGCGGCTCATGTCATCGTTTGGGCCAGCCGTGCCTTAGGTTTCACTCATCGAGCCCCCGGAGCCTTGCACCTTGTTTGGAGGAGAGAGGCTATTTTATATCCCATCTCCACTGACTCCGGGAATCTGGGCTGTTCTTTCTAGATGCTTCCCTCTGACAGCACCTTTTGGCCAACCAGCTCAAGCCCTTTACAAGCAACCAGTACTCAACCCTGCTGCCATGGCATTCAAACACATTCTTCCCCTCTGCGAGCAGGATCGGGCCTGATGAACGCATAAGATAATCTCCCCATTTTACAGACGCAGAAAGGGAGGCAAAGAGTGACTTATCCAGGATCTCCCAGCAAAGCCCTGGCAGAGGCAGGATGGGGGGCAAGGAGACCCATTTCCCACGCTCCCCCTGTTCTGGCGGCCAGACTACGCGCCCGCACCACGGCCGGCGAAATGTCTCCGCACCTTCTGTGCACTCGCAGGTGTAGGTGTTGGGGCCGTCTAGGCACTTAGCCCCGTTCTTGCACGGCGTGCTGGCGCACTCGTCGACGTCGTATTGACACAGGTGCCCATTAAAGCCTGGAAGAGAACAGGGACAGAAAGCTCCTTTTGAACCGTCCCGGCAAGGCCAGTGCGAGGAAACGCCCCGGCTCCGTATGAGTCTGACAGTGGCTGGCTTCTGAGAGAACAGGGCTAAGGGGGTTTGGGTCTTTTGAGAGAACAGGGCTAAGGGGGTTTGGGTCTTTTCAGAGAACAGGGCTAAGGGGGTTTGGGTCTTTTGAGAGAAGAGGGATAAGGGGGTTCGGGTCTTTTGAGAGAACAGGGCTAAGAGGGTTCGGCTCTTCTGAGAGAACAGGGATAAGGGGGTTTGGCTCTTCTGAGAGAACAGGGCTAAGGGGGTTTGGCTCTTCTGAGAGGACAGGGCTAAGGGGGTTCGGCTCTTCTGAGAGAACAGGGATAAGGGGGTTTGGCTCTTCTGAGAGAACAGGGCTAAGGGGGTTTGGGTGTTGATAGTTCGGGTGGTGATCAGTCTGCACTGGGCTGGAGGTGACAGCCCGAACAGCAGAATGAGGAGCCTCTGGCTTCATCCCAGCAGCCCTCCAACAGCCCAGACACAACCTGGATGAACTTGTTCCCCACCCACTGCCTCCCTACCCCGGCCCCTTCACAGGGGCGCTTATCCCCAGCACGTCTGGGACAGCGGCTCCTCACACCAGCAAAGGGAGCAGGGGCAGGCTTGCCTCAGCAGACAGACCTGCTCCTTCCACCTCCCAATTCCGGACACGCCGGGTATTTCCCAGCGGAGGAACCCTCGCTCTCCTCCAGGAGCTGACATTTTCCAGGCTGGGCTGGGGTTTCCATGGCAATGGCCGGAGGGAGCACATCTTATTTACATCTCTAGAGGAGCCACGGCGCTGAACTTCAAACCCTCCTTTCACAGATTAACCGTCTCCCCATTCTCTGTGCCCTCCCCCACCCCCGACTTTGGCACCGCATTCAAACCCGCCAGCCCGGCCCCTCTGCCCTCTCCACACTGGGGCCTTTTCAAGTGCAAAGTTGGGCTTTTTGAATCCTCGCGCCTCTCTCCCGCTGGCTGGGCAGGCCCCACTCGGCTGGGGGGCTCTCCCATGGAAGGCCTGCGTCTCACACCCCTCAAGGCCCTGTTCCCGAGAAGAGCTGCGCTCCCACTCTAGCCTATGGGATTTCCGGGGGCCCGTCTCCGTTCAGGATTCGGCTCCTCGGGGGCTGCCACGGAGGGAGCCTCCATGCCTCTTCTTTCACCTAACACCAGCAAAGGGCCAGATGCGACGCTGGGTTAAATCAGTTACAGATGCTCCATAGGCTGAGACGTTAATTTACATCAGCTCTTCTGTGGAGACTCTGGCCTTTGTGACGGTCACTGTGCCGCACACACGGTTGCATTTCGAGAGCTACACAGTGGCAGGCCGGGACACAACGCCCTCTCGCTTGCTCCGGAGGCACATGCTCCCTACCCCCCACCCCCAGAGCTAAAAGAGAATCTCTTCACAATACAGGGCCTATGACACACACTAGGGCAACACAGGGCACAGACAACCATCATGGGGTTACAAAGCTCGCTGCCTTGCAGCGCTCACTGAAATCATCTGCCAGAATCTCTCCAGCCTTTGGGGATTTTTGGGTGGGAGAGAGGATCCCGGAAAGCCCTCCCCACCCACTTATTGGCTCTAGGGGAGAAATCCTGCTGGTGCTCCTTCCTCCCTGTAATGGGTTTGGGGGGAGGGTCCCCGTTGGCACTCCCTCCCCCCTTCCCAGAACGCGCCTGGCGCTTACATATACGTTTCCAGACTCATATCCCGGCTGCCAAAGCTAGGCGGCTTCAAACGAAAGGAGCGTTATTTCCCTGTGCTCCAGAGATCTGCCCCAGTCAGCTGGGTTGAAATCCATCGGCCCAGCATTGCCTCTGGGTGGGGGATTAATTCCAACTTTGTTTCCACTACAAAGGCTTCTGCTGAAGGCGATGCTATCGATCGCCCCATACCTGTGGGGCACTCGCAGTAGAACTCGTTGATCTTGTCGATGCAGTTCCCGTTGTGCAGGCAGGGGCTGCTGGCGCATTCGTCCGTGTTGATTTCACAGTAAACGCCCTCGTAACCTGGGAGCGAGAGATCCAAAGTGCCTTTCTCTCAGCGTTCACCGCAAAAGACCCACCTCCCAAGTATCGCAGGCCTGCTCCGGGCCTGGGGTAACCGCCTCCAAGCCAACCGAGGGACGCCAGGCATGGATGTGGCCTGCCGTGTTCAGGCAGCATGGGACCATGCCCTTCAATGCTTCAGCATATGAGTCCTATCGGCCGCAGGTTAGCTTATCAGGAAGCCTCCTCTGCAGGCAAGATGTTCCCTAAATCTCCACCACGGGGTGTTTTACCTTCCCCAGAGCAGCGGGGGCTGGCCACTGTTAGAGGCAGGATACGGCCCCCAGCCATGTCCAGTCTGAGAAATGCTATGTTTATAAGAGGTGTTGTTTACAAAGAGGCGCAATCTTGAATTCTCTGTGCACCCAGCACCCTCGTTGGTTTCCATCACCCCACCCGGCCCCAATATTCCTATTGCTACAGCATCTTCCGGCAAGTTTAAATGAAAGAAGAACAAACCCTGCAGCGGACTGTTCAAAGTTTCATCTGCCTTCCCTGCACATCAGAGCTCTGACCCAAAGCCCCTGGATGTCACTAGGGGGCAATTCTTTCCACGGACTGCAAACGGCCTTTGGTTCAGGCGGTCGGGGCTGGCGTCAGGGGCAGCAGGGCTGGGCTGTGAGGGCTCTAAGTTTAGCGATGGGACTGGCAGCTGGAGGGTTTTCAAATGTGCCCCCCCCCACAGCAAGATTTCCCCTGCCCAAGGAACCGCCCTTGTGACTGTCCCTAGAAGGTTTGAAAACACCGGTGGCAGAGTTACAAATAATCACACCGCTGTGGCCCCCACCCTGCCATCAGACCGGCGTGCTCACGGTTTCCTCTCTCGTAAACCGTGCTTCCCTCCCTGCTCTCCTGGGACTTGTAACTTAACATTTCTTACAGGTGCTCTCCCATTGCAACCCGGGTCCTGCCAGCTCTTTGAATAGCTCCCGGTTGGCTCTTGCCGGAGCTGCGCACCAGGGCGCAGCCGCTTACTTTCACCTCTGCTCCCGGCCCACGTCCCACCGGGATCAGAGAAAGAGAGAAGCCACAGTCCTTCGACCCACCTGGCATGCAGATACACTGGAATTCTCCGATCTGATCCAGGCAGGTGGCGTCGTTCTGGCACGGATTGGAGAGGCATTCGTTGACATCTATCTCGCAGCGGGGGCCCGAGTACCCCTGGAGACACTGGCACTGGAAGGAGCCTTGGGTGTTGATGCATTTCCCAGCATGCTCACAGGGATTGGCTCCTAAAAAGGACACATCCCATTGACAAACCCACCATCGGTCTCTAGTCTGGATGCAAGGATGAGGCCCGGGGCCTTATGCAACCTGCCCACCGCATCTACGTATTTTTAAATCAGGGGTGGAAGACCCAAGGCCTGGGGGCCAGAGGTGGCCCCCAGTTTGCCTGGATCTGGCAGCCGAAGTTCAGGGCTCCCCCCCTAACATTGGGGAGCCCACGCGGGCGCTCTGGCCCCTCCTTCACAGCCCCTTACCGGGCTAGAGCACACAAAATCTACTAGCCTGGGTTGCCCTAGGCTCTGGTGTGCGAGGGGAATATCGGGAGTGTCTTTCTCCTTCTCAGCTGGGGGCCACGTCAGCGAGGATTCGGTTTTGTGTGTGTGTGCTTCTCACTTGTGTGGCCTCCGACTGATTTTTTGGGGGCAGCAACCCCCGACCCAAAAAGGTTCCCCACCTTTTGTGTAAGCCAAACCTCAGCTTGGGCCTGATCCCCCGACATTTCCTTAGAAATAACCCCCTGCCAGCAGCCCCCACGTTTACCTAGTGAGCACTCGTCTATGTCTTGGTTGCAGGCTGGCCCCGTGTAGCCCGACGGGCAGGTGCAGATGGCTTTGCCATTGACTGGGTTGGTGTCGCAGTTTGAGCCTTCGTTGCAGGGGTTACTGATGCAGGCGTCATCCAGGTGGCACAACAAGCCTGTTGAGCGAAGCACATGCATGCCAGTCAGGGGACAGCTGCGGGGGCGAGTCTGGAGAGAGCATCCCCAATCACGCCAGGTGCTGGACCAACACAGTGCCAGAGACAGCCCCTGTCCCAAAGAGCTCCCAGTCTACAGACACAGGACAGGTGGCAGAAACAAAAGCATCAAGAAGGGAAGTGACCTGCCTGCAGCCGGATATCTTCCAGCAGTACTGGCCTGCAATGGGGAGGAAGGAAGAGCTCAGGACACCACAGTGAAGGAACCCAACTCTCATGCTCCAGGGGACAAGCTAGTCTCTGCACTGTGGTCAGGAAGGAATCTCCTTCCTTCCCTACAGCTGGGCAGCCTTTTACAACAAGCTACCTACAACAAAGGGATTTTTCATCTTCTTCACATTGGAAGAACTGGGAATAGAACTCAGGTCTCCAGATTCCCGGCCCAATGACCATTCTGCTCTTTATCATGGATGAGGGCCATGGGCTAAATTGCCCTTGGTGTAACTCTGCTGAGTCCGGTGCTGTTACCCCAGAGATCAACGTGGCACAAGGGTGATCGCTATTAGATCTCTTGTCAGGATCTAGTCCCCTGTACGGGTGACAGGACTTTCATCTGCCTGTATACACTTCCCCCCATCCTCACATATCACACTACGCCTGCAGTCCCCCACCTGTGCGGCCATGCGGGCACTCGCAGTAGAAAGAGGCCACCCGGTCGTGGCAGGTGGCGCCCTGGAAGCAGGCAGCCATGGCGCAGTCGTCAATGTTCTCACTGCAATCCTCGCCGGTCCAGCCATTGACACAGACACAGTTGTACCCGCCATGGTTGTTGTGGCACGTCCCTCCATTCTGGCAGGCATTGGGCATGAGCTGGCACTCATCGACATCTTCCGTGCAGTACTGGCCTGCAGCAGGGAGGAAGGAAAAGCAGGCTGTCAAGCTCAGGATCCTGTAGTGAAGGAACCCAACTCCCATGCTCCAGGGCACAAGCTGGTCTCTCCACAGTGGTCAGGAAGGAATCTCCTGCCTTCCCTGACACACGGACAGCTCCATGCAGCGAGCTACGTACAGAGAGAGGATTTTTCATCTTCTTCACACTGCTAGAGGCCGGGCACTGGACTTGATGGACCAAAAGGACCATCCCTAATGGGCCAGACCGACATGCATTACGGCATGCAGCAAGCTGTGCACTGACAGAAACAACTGCCCCGGTTCTGCTCCCAATTCAATCAACGGCAGCCCTGCTATTTGTTTCACCTGCCACATGATATGTCTTCGGCAGCCCATGCTCACTACCCTCAGTCCCCTGGCCGTGCCTATCCAGGTTCTCGCCACGGTCCTAGCCTTACCTGTCCACTCAGGGAGGCACTGGCAGTTGTAGGTGTTCACTCCATCCACGCAGGTGCCCCCGTTTTTGCAGTTGTTCCCAGGACAGTCATCGATGTTGTCCTCACAGTTCTGACCAGCAAAACCTGGGGAAAGGAAACACCTCCGTCGGCTCTCTGCACTCCGCAAGGGCTGCAAGCCACCTGGCCCGGGAGCTGGCCTCCCACACTGCAGGCATGGAACAGGCTGCTGGCTGCAGGAGGCAGGCGCTGAGATAGGCACCCGTCGCCTCCAAGCCAGTGTGAACTGTGCCAAAGACTGCGGGTATCTCGGCCTCTGCTCCCAGCTGAACAAAATCCTCCCTCTCTCACGCCCTGTTCCCCCTTCCCCTTGCCGGGACCAGACTGCGGCCAACTGCTGCATGCGTCCGCCTTCGGGGCCCAATCCTGCAGCCTTGATTGCCCGCTTCTAATCCTAGAACATTAGAACTGGAAGGGAGCTCGAGAGGTCGAGTGCAGTCCCCCGCCCTCGTGGCAAGACCCAGTCATTGAGTGGCGTTACTCTGGGGGGAGACCAGAATCGGGCCCACGTTTTCTCTCCCGTCCCTGATTTTTCAGTCAGGCGTCAGTAACCACCCTGGCACTAGCGGCATTTTTGGTGGTGCCCAGAAGGGGCCAAGTCCCGTCCCCACAGACACACCGGCCTACGGCTCTGGGAGGGATTTTGAGAGAAGGAGGGGGGCAGGTTATGGGAGGGAAGTTTGGGCACAAGCTCTGAGCTAGGGCTGAGGTTGGGGTGTGGAAAAGGGGAGGGCTCTGGGGCTTACCTCAGGCAGCTCCTGAAAGTGACCCTCACCCCCCTCTAGCAGCGGTTCCTGGGGGAGGGGGATTGGCTGAGGGTCTCCATGTGCCATTGCCCATAGGTACGGGCCAAGGGGAGCTGTGGAGCTGGTGGTGGGAGCAGCACAAGGAGACACCCCATGGGCCACAGAAGCAAGGGTGGGCATGAAGCAGCCTTGGCCCCACTGTGCTGCCAGTAGGGGGGCAACAACTGGGGGGGGGGTCACTGGACCCTTTTAAATCACCCAGGGCAGCAGGTGGGTCCAGGAGAGGCTCAGTGGGGGTGGCAGGTGAGTCCGGGGCAGAAATCTACCCCCTAATATTGGGGCAGCCGGGGCCCCGGGCTCTGAATATTCCTGAAGCACAGGCCCAGTTTCACTCGGCGCCCAGCACCTGGGCTTTGTCGATGGCCACGTTTGCAGCACGGATGTGCCAGGCGGGGCTCTGCCGGCTCCCTACTGCAGCGCTAAGTCACCTCACCGCCGCTCGTTAGCAATTAGTGTCCCCCGTCGGGCGTGTGCCACGACGAACAAGAAGCCTTTTCATTCGGTGCGAGCCCAACCTGCGGCAGGTTACTAATTAACAGCCCCTGCCCCCCGCTGTTGGTCGCAGCCCCGCCCCGGCTCTGGAGAGAGCCTCCGTTTCACCTCCTTTGCCCCCCGCAGACTCATTCGGAGTCGCGGATTGAGTCGAGTGAAGGAATCGTGGGAGGGGAGGGGGTGGCCTGCAGGAAACTGGGAAGCCACGGGTAAATTCCTCCCCCTTGTTGCCTAGGGCAAGGACTGCCATCCCCGGGCCTCCACTTCTGAGCGCAGCCTGCTGGCTTCATGGCACGCCCATGGGAACTGGCGGAAGGGGCCGCAGGACAGGGCTCTGAATCATTGCAGCTGAATAGCCAGCGTTTCCTCCCAGGGGGGAAATTCTTCACCGCGCCGAGCCTGCCCACAGGAATCAAGGCCTCCCATGCTGCTGAAATCCCAGCGCTCTACGCACGGGCAGGACAGCTTTGGACCTCTCCCCGGCGCCCCACGGTGCACGGAAGGAACCCCCAGAGGCCGGGACCTTAGCAGCAGATCTGCCCAGCAGGGCTTCCCTTCCCCCTCGCTTGTTCCCTTTTTAAACGGTCGCTTGTCCCAGTTACAGAGTCAAGTGATGTATTTACTGTAAACACCAGGCGGGGCGGACTGGCTCCCCGGGCCCCCCTGCCAAAAGGAACATGCCGTAACCTGGGCTCCCCTGAAGCAGGGGCCGTCTGAAGGCTGGATTGCAGGTGTAATCAGATCTTGGCTCCTCACCCTGTTTGTTTAGCTCCGCGCTCGCCTCGCCAGCCACTAGTTGAAACCAGACACACAAAAGTAACCAGAGACGCCCACTCCCTGAGTGCTAGAGCACCCACAGGGGAAAAAATAGTGGGGGAGCATCCCCCAGCAGCCAAACTCCCCCCTCCCTCACTGTTCCCCCCCCATTCCTCTTGCCTAGGGTGACCCCACTGACCAACGTCTCCCCGACTCTCCCAGAACCTCCCAACGCCCTGGAAGTGCTGATTTGTGGGGTTCAGGATGCTCCAGCAGGGAGGGGTAGGGACCGGGCGCAGCTGGTGGAGGGGGCGGGGCTAGAATGGGGCCAAGGGTAGGGCCTATGGGCAGAGCTAGAATGGGGCCAGGGGTAGGACCTATGGGCAGAGCTAGAATGGGGCCAGGGGTAGGACCTATGGGCAGAGCTAGAATGGGGCCAGGGGTAGGACCTATGGGCAGAGCTAGAATGGGGCCAGGGGTAGGACCTATGGGCAGAGCTAGATCTGGGGGTCATGCACCCCCCCACTAGAGGGGAAATTGGTGCTTACGCCACTAACTACAACAACTACTGAAATGAACTGGGTGTCCAGATGGCGACTCAGCCGAGACCCCGGGGGTAGGTGTGCTCATGTAGACACAGGCGAGCTCGCTTTAATCTGGTTCGCTCTTGTACGGGAGCAGCACAAGCCAGCTGTGCAAGCGATCAGCCAGAGACGTCCTGCCCACAGCAGGCCCCGCATCCTATGGATGGGACGGTCCCCCATATTGATAGTAGCCTGCGGGGCCCAGGGTGCTCTAGGCAATTACCTGGAGGGCCTAGTGCGGGGCAGAAGCAGGGGTCTGGAGGGCACCCTCCCGCCCCCGCAGTCACCACGGCAGCAGGAAGCTGAGCGACCCAGCTGGGAGACGGACGACAGAACGGAGCAAGCTGGGGGGTTCCTCCACTTCCTGCAGCTCCTGCCACCGTGGTGAGTGCAGGGGGCCTGAACCCTGCTGCCAACCCGTGCCAAGTCCCCCCAGTAATCGGTTGCATCTCACAGGGGTGGGAAGAGGTGGGGCGGGGGTGCTGCAGGAAGGGGGCTTGGAGAAGCAGGGGGCGGAACAGAGACGGAGGTATGGGGGTGGGGCTGCCCCAGACCCCGCGCTCCCCCCTAGGAGGGACCCATGTGGGAGCTTTGCAGCTGCAGCATCAGCACTCCAGCAGCCTTTGCTCCATTACCGCTCGCCCGGGGACAGGCGCACAAGCTGCCGTCCCACCCCTTCTCCCTGCCGCACTCTGTGACTGCGGGACAGACAAACCTCCAAAGCCAACCCTCTCGGGTGGCTGCAAGAGGGGCTGCAGGCTGTGAAGCTTGCCAAGTCCCAAAAGGGGGACCCTTGTACCCACCACATCACCCCAGGTGAACACAGCCCCGTAGCATCCCCTCCTGTGACCCTTGCCTCCAGCTCAAGCCGGCAGGTCGGCTGTCCCCAAAATATTCTGGATCCTAGTTTGTAAAAAGATCTAGGTCTGCTGGACTCAAGCTTATTTCCCCCACGTGTGGTGTGTGTATACGGCAGTTAGACACCCTGGGCTGGTCCAGGGCAGCTGCCTTGGGCTCGCGGTGAGGCTGTTTAATTGCAGTGCGGACTTCCAGGCGTGGGCTGCAGGCCAGTCTCGGGGACCCTCCCGCCTCGTAGGCACCTGGACCCCAGGAACTTGCCGTCAGTACTTTGAAAGGGCCTGATGGTCCCTGGTGCTGAACTCCTGCAACGCCCACTGAGGCCAGTTGGAGCAGTGGGAGCTCCCGCCGCCCACAGGAACCACGTCCCTCACTTCCCACCCAATGCCAGAGAAGTAGATTTCGGAACATTGTCCCCATTTTACAGATGAAGGAGCAGGCACAGAGACTTTCAGTGACTTGCCCAAGGCAGGTCAGAGGCAAGATTAGATCCCACGAGAGGGCCTGTGCCCCAGCCACATCCCCGGCCTCTCTCTAAAGCAGGGGTGGGGGGCCTTTTTTAGGTCAGAGGCTGCTGAAAAGTGAGTGGGGGGGCACACAAAAGTGAGAAGCAAAAAACAAAAACCCCAACACCCTGACTGAGAAGCAGACACTCCCCACATTCCCCTCACACACCAGAGCCTGGGGGGCCCAGGCTAGTAGATTTTGTGGGCCCCCTACACTCTGGGGTGGGGCCAAGGATAAGGAGTTCAGTGTACGGGAGGGGACTGCCAGGAAGCGGGCTTGGAGAATGGCATTTGGACAGGAAGGAGGATGGGTTGGGGGTTAGTGGGACTGGGAGGGTGCTAGGGTGTAGGACTGGGCTGGGGGGCTGGAGGGCTGGGCAGGAGGTAGGGTAGGGGTGCAGGGTCTGGGCAGGAGGGAGGAGCCACAGGGCTGGAGCACCAGCCTGGCTCCCCAATGCTGAGGAGGATGGCCCACAAGGACCCAATTCAGGCACGTCAGGGGCCAGATCCGCTCCCTGGGCCGTAGGTTTCCCTCCCTGCCTTGTTCTCCTCCCGCAAACAGCAGCCCCGCCCTGACTGAAAAGCAGTACCAGCTCTTTATGATTGCTGGTAGAAGTCCAAAACCGATAACGTTGATTCATTCCTAGCTTTCAGGCTGCAGAGCCGAGCACACACGGCAATAACGCGTAACGTTCTAGATACCGGGATTAACTCATTTCGAACCATCCGAATGAGTAATTAGCGTGGCAATGACTTGAAATTCAGGGTTACATACTCAGGCAACGGCACGATGAAACAGATTAGATTAGCCGGGCTGTAAACGGCTCTGAGCAGGCTCGTGTTAAATGAAAAGGGGGCATTGTTTTAAAATGTGCTGAGCTACATACCAGTACATCAATGCGTACCTTATCATGAGAAATGGCCCTCAATCTTTTATGCCTCTGCCAGAATCATCTGATACAGTGTTTGCTTCACAAGACACATGCCTCACGCGGCCTGATCCTGGGGAGGGGCTGGGAGCCAGCTGCAGTGCTTGGCACCCGGCAGGATCAGCCTCCAACAGAGAAGTTTTTTTTAACAGCCCCCAGGTTATTTTCCGTGTTCGTATTTGGCTGGTGGACTGAACGGGAGGCAGACCCATAAAGGGTATGCTCAGCTCCATAGGATGCAGCTCCCTCTAGTCACAGCCGGGTGTCCAAGAGCAAAGCCCATCCCCCTGGCAGCAGGGCTTCTCTGCGATGACATATTTTGCAGAAGCACAGGGCACGCTGGTTTCTTGCAGGAAGCGGGCGAGTGGCAGCTGGATTTCCTTTCCAGGGCGCCACCAGCTCTCTCCCTGCTGGGAGAGCTGCCTTCCCCATCACAGTGACCGGCACAGAGCTAAAATCGCTTCCCTCCAGGAACGATGTAATTGACTAACTGGTTAAACAATATGTTATAGCTGAATAAGGGTGTGGGGGGGTGTGGGAGCCACTCCCCTGCACCCGCTGCTGGACTGGAGCACCCCTGAGCACCCAGAGCAGCCCCAGTCTGTGGTTGGCCCCCTGCGGGGCTGGAGTAGCCCCCTTCCACAGCAGGCGGAAAGCTGCTCCAGCCCCCCCATCCCCGGTTAACGCTCACATCCTCACCTCCCAGCAGCTACCGGTTAATGTCTAACTTCTGTCTCCCTGCAGGCTGTGCCTCCTTCCAGAAGCTCACAGCTCTCCCCTGCTTTGAAACTTCGTTCGTTTATGGGGCCTAGGAGAAAGCTCTACTTTCCTGAGATCCCTAGGGGGCTCATCTATAGCTCGGTGGTCTTAGGGAATCTCTTGTTTTACGCACGCTGATGACAGAGACCTCCCAACCATCTTGGGAAGCTGGGCAGGGAAGCACATTTTAGAGGGGATATTGAACCTCGTGCTCCAGGCTTAAACTCACGTAACTAGTCAAGATCAGGATGAGAGCTCTGCCAAGGGGAGACTGTCCCACCTTGGCCTTCTGGAGGGCTCCTACACCTTTCTCTGAGGCAGCTGGTGCAGGAGACAGGACACTGAATTCGATGGACTTTGGGCGTGGTCTAGTCTGGTACTTCTCAATTTGTCTATATAAAGTTCATAATTCCCATTTTACAAAGAAGGAAACTGAGGCATGAAGCGGCCATAAAGGGAGTCAGCAGCCAAGACTGGGAGAGAACCCAAGAGGACTAGGTCATGCACACCTTGCTCTAACCACTAAGCATCACTCCCCCACGAGGCGTCTCAATACAAGTGCCCCACTCTAACCACGATGCCATCTTCCCACTCAAACTATCCACCCTGTCACGGTTGATCTGCGAAAAGAGACTAAAAATCCTCACACCTCCTCTACCACAAAGAAAGAGATTTCCCAGGCAGCTTTGCCAGGCCGATAGCATCTTTCCAACCGGGGTGGGCAGGCAGATGCTTCCTCTCGCTGCGTCTGCCGCAGGCAGGTGGAGGAGGCCGGTTGGGGTGAGAAACCAGAGAAACCCTCCTGAAAACAAGGCTCTCCCATTGTCTGGCCTCCTTGCAGCAACTTCTTGGGGGCTGGCTGCCGAGAGGCAGGAAGTTCGTAAATTTCATCCTGTCTGGCTGCCAGCACCTTGCTGCCGCGGATGCCGGGGAGCTGTCTTGCGCCACGAGCAAAGCTCAACCAGTTCCCCTCCAGCTATTCAGGCCCTGACCCCAGTGCGCTGCGCTGCGGTGAAAACCTCCACACCACGGCGGAACTGAAAGGTCTTCTTAAGTTCATCAACCTGGCCAGTGAGGAGTTAACCCTGCGCCTGCTGTGCTCCATCTAAGTCCTCGCTGCGTCTACATTGGTATGAATTTAACTGAGAGTGGATAACTCTCCCCTCCCTTTCCCGCTCTTCTGGGGATTACAGTGGATGAGAAGCTGGAGATGAGTCAACAGTGTGCCCTTGTAGCCAAGAAGGCTAATGGCATATTAGGGTGCATTAGGAGGAGCATTGCCAGCAGATCCAGAGAAGTGATTATGCCCTTTATTCGGCTCTGGTGAGGCTACATCTGGAGTATTGTGTCCAGTTCTGGGCCCCCCACTACAAAAAGGATGTGGACGCATTGGAGAAGGTCCAGCAGAGGGCAATCAAAATGATTAGGGGGCTGGAGCATATGACCTATGAGGAGAGGCTGAAGGAATTGGGTCTGTTTAGTCTGCAGAAGCGAAGAGTGAGGGGGGATTTGAGAGCAGCCTTCAACTTCCTGAAGGGAGGTTTCAAAGAGGATGGAGAGAGGCTGTTCTCAGTGGGGACAGATGGCAGAACAAGGAGCAATGGTCTCAAGTTGTGGTGGGAGAGATCCAGGTTGGAGATTAGGAAAAACTATTTCACTAGCAGGGTGGTGAAGCACTGGAATGGGTTACCTAGGGAAGTAGTGGAGTCTCCATCCCTAGAGGTGTTTAAGTCTCGGCTTGACAAAGCCCTGGCCAGGGTGATTTAGTTGGGATGGGTCCTGCCTACAGCAGGGGGCTGGACTTGATGACCTTCTGAGGTCTCTTCCAGCTCTATGGTTCTATGATTCTCCCCTTCCACAATCATTTATTCCAGCCCTCCTACAGGAACAGATCCATGCTGCTTCTCAGTGCGCCCGCTGGGGACAGCAAAGGGAGGGGATCCCTTCTCCAACTCTCTCCTACCAGGGCTTGTTTCCACTGGGAAATTTACCCAACAAGCGATTCTGGAATCTTTGTGCCCCTTTTAAAGAGGATTAAGCGAAATCAGAACAAGACAAGCTTAGGCCTGAGTAAGAGCATCTGCACGTGGGCTTCTATCGAAATAACTATTCCAGAAGCGTCTCAGAGGGGTCTCTGTGCTAGTCTGTATCTGCAAAAACAAACCGGAATCCTGTGGCACCTTACAGACGAACACATTTATTTGGGCATCAGCTCTCGTGGGTAAAAAAAACCAACCCTTTATTGACAAGACTCTGGTCATCTGAAAAGCTCATGATCCCATCTACATGTTTTGTTAGTCTATAAAGTGCTACCAGACTATTTGGTTTTTTTTAAGTTTATCCTGCACAGACTAACTCAGCTACCCCCTGAAGCTTCAACACACAAATAAATGTTAGTCTTTAAGGTGTCACAGGACTCCTCGTTACTCCAGGAGAGCTGTGCCAGTCAATTTCCAGCTGGAGAGAAGCTCTCAGATGATATTTCCCATCATCACAGGCTGCCACAAAGTATGTGCCCAAATTTACTGAAAACAGCTCTGCTCCACCTCTGTTAGAGCTGCGGGTTGTTCCGGGACCTTTGAGGGGTCCCTCTGGGTAGATTTCGCTGTAGTTCCTTAAGAAGGTTTTGAAATTGCTGAGCATTCTGCACCTCAATTGTTGAGGGACAGTAGGATGAAAATCAGTCCTTCAAAATAAATGGCAACTCAGGCAGATCTACTGATCTGAGGCTTTTATACGGCCCTCGTTAATGTGGTGTCTGGGGAGTTCACAACCTTACACTGTCTCAGCTGTGTTAGTCTGTCACTTTAAAAACAACTAGTCCTGTGGCACCTCAGAGACTCACCAAAAATATATATAATTATCTATATAAATATACTGTATTGATCCTCACAGCTCCCCTGCACCCTAGGGAAGTGATATTATTCCTCATGTTACAAAGGGGAAACTGAGGCACATTGCAACTAAGCATGTGTCTGCACAGCAACTGGGACGCGCGTCGGCAATGCACAGGCACACCAGAGCTAACATGGATTGACTGAGCTTGCTAAAAATAGCAGTGTAGCTGCCTTGGCACGGGCTAGCCACCATCCTTCCCTCAAGCAGGGTACGTATATGGCAGCTAATGCAATCAAAGCTAACTCCAGTATACTTGCAGGTGCTGTTCTAGTTGCCGTATAGCCATACCCCAAGTGACACAGGGGCTACATCTAGACTGGCAGGATTTTCCAGAAATGCTTTTAACGGAAAAATTTTCTGTTAAAAGCATTTTCGGAAAAGAGCGTCTAGATTGGCACGGATGCTTTTCTGCAAAAGCACTTTTTGTGGAAAAGCGTCCGTGGCCAATCTAGACGCGCTTTTGCGCAAAAAAGCCCCGATCGCCATTTTCGCGATCGGGGCTTTTTTGCGCAAAACAAATCTCAGCTGTCTACACTGGCCCTTTTGCGCAAAAGTTTTGCGCAAAAGGACCTTTTGCCCGAACGGGAGCAGCATAGTATTTCCGCAAGAAGCACTGATTTCTTACAGTAGGAAGTCAGTGCTTTTGCGGAAATTCAAGCGGCCAGTGTAGACAGCTGGCAAGTTTTTCCGGAAAAGCGGCTGATTTTCCGGAAAAACTGGCCAGTCTAGACACAGCCAAGGAGTCTGTGACAGAGTAGAGCCATGACTCCCGATCTCTCAAGACCCAGACTAGAGCCCTCGCTGCACGATCCCCGAGAGTGAGACAGGCAGGCCGTACCTGGAAGACAGGTGCAGTCGTAGGTGGTGTCGCTGGTCTGACGGCAAGTGCCCCCGTTCTGGCAGGGCGAGGGGTTGCAGGGCATGTAGAGGTGCTCGCAGTTCTGGCCCGTGTAGGCTGGCTTGCAGGAACACTGGTAGCTCCCGATCTCGTTGGTGCAGCTGCCTCCGTTCTTGCAGACGGGAGGGATGATGTTGCATTCGTTTAAGTCCTGTTTGCAGTTGGGTCCATGGAAGCCCTTCGTGCACTTGCAGACGTAGTGGGCCTCGAAAGGGACACACTGCCCTCCGTTGGCGCAGGGGTTGGAGGCGCAGGGATCTGCCTGCTGGCAGGTCTTACCTGCAGAGCAAACAGGGAGGGGATGGAAACTGCAGCTCACAGGGTTGGGGGGACAGACATAGACCCAACTGGAAAGATCTTTCTGGATCCCGGGGCTCCCCGGTCCTGTCCCCTTCTGGGTGCCTGGTGGCTCAGCTGTGCTCCTCACCCACTAGCACATTAGCCCCGGCCTTCGGTCTGTGTCATTCACTATACACACTCCCCATTTTGATAGCACCCCAAAGCTCATCCCAGCTGCAACCCTGCCAGGCCAGCACAAAGACTGGGACTTTCAGCTTAGAGAGGAGAAGACTAAGGCGGGAAGTGATAGAGGTCTATAAAATCATGACTGTTGTGGAGAAAGTGACGAAGGAAAAGTGATTGACTTGTTCCCATAACAAGAACTAGGGGCCACCAAATGAAATGAATAGGCAGCAGGTTTAAAACAAAGAGAAGGATTTCTTCCCACAACGTACAGGCAACCTGTGGAACTCCTCGCCAGAGGAGGTTGTGAAGGTCAGATCGTCAACAGAATTCAAAAAAGAGCTAGATAAATTCATGGAGAGGTCCATCAATGGCTATTAGCCAGGATGGGTAGGAATGGTGTCTCTAGTCTGTTTGTCAAACACTGGGAATGGGTGGCAGGGGTGTGATTGCTTGATGGTTACCTCTTCTGTTCCATGCATCTGGCATTGGCCATGTCAGAAGACAGGATACCGGGCTAGACAGACTTTTGCTTTGACCCAGTATGGCCGTTCCTATGCTCTTATGCCCGGCCCCCTGCGCACCAGGGAAAGGCTGAGGGAACTTTCATGTGCCCGCAGAGAGGACAGGACAAAAGATGGAGTCAACGTTGCCTACCCTGGAGGAGTTTTGTGGCTGGTTTCTAAGCCCTTCCCCTTTCTCCTCATGCTTATGGAGGGTCACTGGAAAGCACTGGCTCCCCTGCTCTCCTGAGTGCCCATGAGGAAAGCAACCCACTTGCTGCCGGGGGGAGGAGGAGGAGCCCCGTGTTGCTCTACACGGACCCTCGTGCCCCTGACTGGCAGCCCCGTGGGAGCGGGCATTACCAATACCCCTCCCTCTGGATTTCCAAGGCGAGTCCAAGCTTTGGGGACTCTGCTCTAGGATGGGCTTAAAACACCCCCCCTCCCCCGTGCTGTGCATCGGGGCGGGGCAATGGGGCTCTTTCTCGGGGCTGCCTGAGGGAGAGACGTGTGCGGGCCCCACCTGACCACCCTGGAGGGCACCGGCACTTGTATTCAGTCAGCGTGAGCAGGTCGCAGGTCCCGCCGTTGCGGCAGGGGTTGTTGAGACAGGCGTTCTCCTCGGGCGTCAGGCACAGCCGGTCTGTGAAACCCAGGCGGCAGGAACAGGTGTAGTCCACGGCGTTGCCGCGGGCGACCGGGTGGCAGGTGCCGGCATTCTTGCACGGGGAGCTGAGACAAGGGTTTGGCAGCTGGCACCGGTCCCCTAGGTGGGCGCTGTTGCATCTGGGGAGAAGAGAAGACACCACGTCAGACCGTCCCGTCAGTCCTAGGAGCAGAGAGCCGGCGAGCGCAGGGGTCCCCGTCTCTGGTGTAGCTCCCCTCTTAGCTGCCAAGGCCTGGGGCGAGCTCTCAGACAGGCCAGCCACCAACACAGCAATGCAACAAACCCCATTTCAATAGGTGCAGAGGGGGGTCTGGGAACATACGGCCCTTCTGCCCTGACAGCAACCAGGCCGCCATACAAGGAGGCAGGGCCCAACTTTTAGCCCCAAAGAAACATCATTGTGAGGCTTCATGGGTAATCACATGGTTGTACGGCACCTCTCAGAGGCACTGGCTTCCCGAGCTCCTCGAGGGTGCACTGCCCCACCCCATCCCGCCCCTCCCCTGACCCCCATCCGACTTTGTCCCACCTCCTCCTCCCCCCTTCCCCCGTGTAACCCACACACCTCCTGGGTGGGGTGTACTGTCCCATGTCGTGGCACTTAGACCCCTTCCAGAGAGAGAAAGAGACCCTTCTACTGCCGCAGCTGAGAGCCAGCTGGCTTTTGGCTCAGGCTGTAGAAGGCTCATGCACTAAGCTCTACAGGTCTCAGGTTTGCGACACCAGCACCTCCTACACACTGGCGCCAGCTGATTGGGGTGGGCAGGATGCACTGGGAAGGAGGCGGATGAGCTGACGGGGGGCCTGCCGGCTGAGCACCCACGATTTTAGTCCATGGGTGCTCCAGCCCCAAAGCCCCCATGGTCTTGGCGCTTATGGCACTTAGCAGAATTGGGCTCCTTTAGGTGCTTCCGACATAATACATGTTTATTAATTGCAGTGGTAACAGAGCAGAGGAGAACCATTTGCCTTGCATGTGACCCTCACACGAAGGAGAAAATGCCAGGGCCTCGCCTCTGCCTGAGTGACATGCTGATCATTAAAAACAAAACAAAGTCACGGAGCAAACAGCAGCTCAGTGCAGGCTGTAGGGGGTTAAATACCCATGGTGCAAGACAGCGGGGTGGACTGTGCAGAGGAAAAGAAAGGGAGAAGTAAGGTCTGTGCTAAAATAAGAAGGAGGAGCACCCAGTTCCTATCTCAGATGTGTTGCAAAAAGGCCTTTAGTTTAGACTAACGCTGAGCATACAGATCCCAGGGTCCCAGCTTGAACGGGGCATTTTCGCTCCGACAGCCCGAGACAGAGTTTGGTCCATAGCATTGCTTTCTCTTATAACAAGTTGTGCACATGTAGCTTTAGTTGCAGCCTCTGTTTTGCTTTCTCCGTCCCTTCACAGGCACCTTTGATTACCCCTCCCGACCTACAGTGGAGGAGAGAAAGAAAAACACACACTCCCTGCAGCCCACAAAGCTGCCAACTTTCATGCCTGCGTGGGAATCACTTTCACACACACCCTGCAGCTCCCGCCCCTTGCCACCTGTCTCCGACATTTTCCAGAGCACAGGCATGCCATAAATCACGGAGGTTTCAAAGAGCTTGTGGGTCATCTTCCGACCCCCTGGTGCTCGCCTGGGATCTATGCAAATTGCTTTTCCCAAACCAGCTGAGCAGAGGAAGAACAATCCTCAGTCCTCTGTCCTGTCCCTAATCCATATCAGAGTCGTCGGGGTCTATTTCTTTAAGGGACGCCAGGTCTCATAGTGCATGTTTGCTGGGAATCCCATTTGATTGATTTTTTTATGGAACGAAGCAAGTCTAAGGATCAAAGAGACCCAAGCTCGGATGATCAGTGGGTGTGATATATACATATTCGCTCTGCTTGAAATTCCTCCCTGTACACAACCAGCCAGCACAATGGGCCACTTGAGCCCTGTTTTGAAGATTTACGTGGGGTACGGGACTTGTGCCGGCTTCTCTGCCCAAGGGCGAATTTCACACTAAGAGAGAAGGGAAAGATGAAAGGGAAGCATGGAACATATGCCATCCCCAGCTGGCTAGCATGCAGAGACTTGCAAAACAATAACACCTGGCTTTCAATGTAGCACTCATCATCAGTAGATCTCAATGTACATCACAAAGGCGGTCCGTGTCATTATCGCCATTGCACCAATGAGGAAACTGAGGCACTGAAAAGGAAAGTGATTTGTCCAAGGTCACCCAGCCTGGCCAGTGACAGATCTGAAAGGAGAAACCACATTTCCTGGGTCCCACTCCAGTGTTCTGTTCCCCTAGACTTTTATGCTTATCTAAAATCCCTGCCTGCAATCATAAGATGAAGTCCCTCTAGAGACCCAGTTGGGGTGTGTGGGACAGCCAAGAGTATTCTGAACAGGAAGTATTTGTACCAACATGCTTCCTTGTGCTGGATAGATGCTTTTGCCCTCTCCTGAACACAAGCGAGATTTTGACAGGTCAATTTTCACCCTTCTGCCCCTGAAATGTACATCTGGCCTGTCTGACTGCGCTCTTAATTCCACCACTCAGAGCCGTCCTTAGGACTTGTGGGCCTACATAGTGCTATTAAACCGGTGCCTGATGGCAGCCCCGGGTGGGGAAATGATTTTTTAGAGACGCGATTTTATAATTTTCAGCAGCCCACTAATGAAATCGTTTTAAGCACATTTTAAACTCAGGTCCTGTCGACTCCCACAGTAAAATTCAGAAACTGACAGTATAGATCGGTGGAGGCGGAAATGCCTGTGAGATGGCTTCGCTGCCACTTAAATGGCTCTTTCCCCAGTTCAATATTCTGCTAAGAGCTCTGGCTGGCTTTTCCACTTTTCAGTGAACTAGATTCTCTCCGGAGTAAACAGAGCCACAGAACAGGGATAGGAACGGGCAAGTGGGTGGACATTAGGACCCAGCAGTGCCCCGAATGTTCAGGTGCCCTATTCCACTGTGTATGAGTAAGGACGGCTCCATCATCACTTTGTCTTCAGATCGTGACCACTTGCAACCAGACAGCAGAGAGCTTTAAGGGGGTCGTACGCGAAGCAGCTTCCGAATGCTCTGTGATCGGGGCCCCTTTGTGTTTTGACCCTCACTCTAACAAAGCACTTGAGCGTGTGTATAATGCTGAAGCCAGAGTTATCACCCTAACAGCAATAGGACTATCAGCATGATTAAAATCGCTCACGAGCTGGAGTGCACGGCTGGATGGAAGCCCAAAAGGGCCACAAAGCTCAGGTAAAGTTCTTTGAGATCCTTCTGGCTTTCCATAAACAATACGGCATTACCATTTCATCAGCAACTGGCAGCTTCCCGAACATCCCTCTGTCTCGCAGGAATCAGAGTCAGACATATCTCAGCATCGGCACACAAGAGCTCGGCGTCCGCCCGCACAACAGGTGTGGCGCAGTTATGCTTTCTCTTACATTACAGTCTTCCGAAACAGCTGCTCAGATCTTCCCTGAAGATAAAGTCTTTCCAAAGCCGTATTTTCTCAGCAAAGGGAGGGGCCAAACAAACATGCCTGATCCTTATCCCAGCGTGAAGGCCTTTTAAAAAAAGACCCATGAAACGGCCCCCTGGCCCAGCCATCTGTTACCAGAAGCCAAAAGGGCCCAGCCAACTGCCTTGTGGAAAAACAAAGCCAGAGGATGGGAATGGGATACAAATGGGGAGTGTTTCCTGACATAACACTGAGGTGCTGTAGCAAGTTTATACTCAAACACAAGCCCGTTTGCTTATAAGCCAATCCCGCAAACGTACAGAAGAAAAATGGTGAAAAGTCACGGAGCCGTTTATAAGCCGACTCCAGGCTACAGCGGTCTGGGACTTACAAAGGGGCCAGTGGCCGTTTTTACCGTTTTTTCTCTGTAAGTCCGGGGGGTTGGGTCCCAGACCTCTGCGGTTCTGCTTTTTAAATGCAGGAAGAGCTGCCAGGCTCTTACCACGTTTAAAAGGCAGAGGTTCAGCGTCTGGGACCCGGTGTGAGCCGGCGCTGCTGTGTCACCCGGCTCCTGCTGCCGCTCTACCTTTTTAGAACCTGTTCGTAAGCCAACCCGTGATCTTCACAGCGGGATTTTTTTTCCAAAAAACAGTCAGCTTAGGAACGAATATATACAGGACGTCAGCCTTTCCGGGAGGGTGGGAGGGAGAAAGAGAATGAAGAAAGAGGGGCCAGGTTCTTGCCAACAACCTGTGCAGACCCGTGGGTAAGGTGAGGGGAGCCGGCTCCGTGCTGCCCAAAGGGGCGGGGTCTCGGGTGGAAGGGGCGGGGCTGGAGCAGCCAGTCCTCTGCGCATTGCCCCCTCAGCGCCCCATAGAGCGTGCAGCGCGGCACTCCGGCAGCAATTTAAAGAGACAGGAGCCCTGGGTCTCTCTGAATCGCCAGGCCAGGGGCAACTACCCCTTTTGCCCCACTTGGCAGCCTGATCCCTGCTACTCACACAACGTAGCAGCAAGGACCTCTTTTATGAAAGCCTTCGAGGTCTGTGCCTGACCAGCGTGATATAAAACCACCTCTGATTACTGCTCTCTTCTTCGGCATCTAGCCTCGCTAACATCAACAGGCCTGCTCTCATGGTAAGGGGCTGCCCAGTGTAACGGGGAAAGGGTCCGGTCCCAAATAAATACAGGCCACACCCAGCAGAAAACGGAAGCTGTGAAGTGGTGACCTTGAGCTCAGACGCTCAGCCCCTTGCCAGACCAGGGGACTAAAATATTACCCACAGAATAAACGGTCATGCCTGACTCCCAAACAGTGGCTGCTTAAGTTTGCTTTGCGGTAGCTCTCGCTCCCCTGATAACCAACCACACTTACTGCTTCTAGTCTAAGAGATTCTCTTCACCCCACATGCCCAGAGCTCCCCAGCAAAGACGAATTCCTGCGAGGAAGTGGGGTTTGCCCTGGTATCTTGCTCTATTTGGCTAGGTCTACACTACAGAGTTTTTTTTGGAAAAACGGAAAAAACTTCACTTACGTTCACACTGCAATCGTGTTCTTTCGACAAAAAAAAAAAAATCAAAAGAACGCAGAGGTTTTTCCGACCTTGGTAAACCTCTTTCTACGAGGAAGAAGCCTTTTTCCGAAAGAGCTGTTTCGGAGAAAGGAGT